CTCCTACGACAGCACAATACAATGGTCGCCTACATGCCTGCGAATACTCTGCGGAGGACACTATCAAGACCAAAGGGGAAATTAGATCCAATGGCGAAGAACAATGTCATATACAGGATCCAATGCAAGGACTGCGACAAACGGTACGTAGGACAAACAGGAAGGAAGCTCTCCACCAGAATACATGAACACATCGCCACTAAAAGATACGATCAATTCTCCCTCATCTCCGCACACAAAGACCAAGAAGGACACGAGTTCAGCTGGAGCGGCGTTCGCATACTGGCTCAAGCAAGAACAAAACGAGAACGCGAATTTACGGAGGCGTGGTATTCTACCGAAGAAGCCATCAACAAACACATCGAAATTGATCCCATTTACCAGCCACCAAGAGCGAGAGAACGCCAGAACCACAGAACTCAGAGATGCGAAAGCGACCATACGAGGAACTCATACAAGAAGCAAGAAAGCGTCATTCAAACGGACACATCAATTGGATCGGAGGAGGCGCCCAGTCAAAGCACCAAATCAACCGGCAGATGCAGGGACACTAACCGCCACGGTGGAGGAAATAGGGCGGTACAAGCAACCAATCAAACTCGAGAACGGCAGACCACAACGCAATGTGAATCAACGCCAGGGAGAACAAGCTACTGAAATTAGAAGCCGTTGGGACAACCAATCAACACAAAGGAACCCAGACCACAACGCAACAAGGATCACAAACGGGCCAATAGATTCACTAGACTCGTTACACTTCAGGTAGCCAATCACCTCAGAAGATAACAGATAGCCTTTGACTGCTATATAAACACACGCGGGCAAGGAAGAAGTACCCACCCAACTGCGCACTGACGGTGTCTCCTCTTATGGTGACAAAACGTTTGCAAGCCAATTGCCAAGCTCGGCGAACAGATCAACAGCCATCTGATCGACAACCAATAAACTCACACGAGCTACCAATATTTCACCACATTTCCAATATCATTCCCTTGTTTCCGTTACTATAGCGTTAACGTAAGGACGCAAAACCAAACAACGGCAGCAAAAGCTGATTGCAATAAACCTAGCCCTGTTAGTAACGATACGTTTGCTTCATCACTGAGCGTAAAATCCTTAACAGATCCCTGGGCCCTAATGCTGGGATTGTGAACAGTTTGGAAGCTTCTGTCCAGTCTTCCGAAGTTCTGCAACGGATTTACCTTAGCGTTGTTAGTGTGGGTGGCGGTGCACAGCGATGGGTCGGTAGTTGTTCGTTGAACAGTGTTGTGTGTTAACGCATGTAATTCTAGCCCGGAGTAACCTTCAATCACGTTTGGTTTTTTGGTCGATTTGTTTTATCAGCTGGTGCCTGGCCAGGTTAACAAAGCAAAAAAGAAGAAACACATTGGTATCAGATCAACAAAAGCCACGGAATGGAACCCAGGGGGTGAAGGAAGGGGTCAGTTCTACATTAACCAGAGTAGGCCATGCACGCGGTCACCTGCAAATCAGGATATAGTACACAGACCAACAAACGGAACCTTCCGACCGGCTGATCAAAGGTCACCCCCGGCTAGCAGCACTTATTATAACAAATGAATCACTACTCTTTACGACGTTGTCTAACAACGGTCAAAATGTCTGTGAAATCGTGCCTCAGAAAAGGACAGATAGAAGGATATAAGTACAGCTCGTTCCCAGGTGAGGCATATAGACTTTTATCGCTTGATATCAAAGTGCTGATAATTAATGCAGATCTAATGGACTGCGGTAAATCCCATTTTATGCCCTTACCTGATGGTTGGAATCAGCAGTGGAGTATTTCGATGAACTATTGTGAGCTGACACGTAACGACTAAACAATGAACTAATGTTGAATATAGCCTGTCACATTATCACCATCATTATGGACCCGATGACACCAGTGTTAAACAATGGTGCTTCGCTGCCGTACAGCTCTGATTTTTTAAAGCTTAGTACATTCAATCCTGGCTTTCTATATCTCCAGACACTCATTTAGGCAATCTGGATAGAAATTGACAACAAAAACGCTGTTGGCATTGATTAGCAGCCAGATCGTACAGTCTCTCCAACCAGGTGCAATGCGGATCATGCGGTTCCCATCCTGGATGGGGGGGCTAGTACGACAGTACCCAAAAGTTTCGTAATTTCGTGCCAGGTCGGGGGTTGGCCACCTCTTTGCTTCCGCCGCTTTGAATTGGGCACAGAAAATTGGCAGTTGATTGTTCGGCATGCACCATACATGGCCTAACTAACGCAGCTTCTGGTGCTTCTGGTGTTTTCGGTTGCAAAACTGAAATCTCGCTTCTGATCGTAACAGGGCTGTGAAGCAACTGTGGCCCCGGCTAATCAGTCAACCAAACGAACAGGACAATTAAACTGAACTGAACATTGAACTTGTTTTTCATCACGAGAAAGCACTCCATAAAGTACTTTGGAGGAGCATAATTGTATCGTGCCTTGTGCTTAAGAAAACTCTAACGTTATCAATATAGTCAAGAAGCTTTCGGCAACTACGCCGTTAAGTGCGGTAATTTGATATCCGTTCGTCTTTGTAAGACCATTAGGGCTGTTATACTGAACGTTTCTGTGTGATTCACGAAAGTGTACAAGCAGAAAACAACAACTAATACCGACTCGTCTGTGGACAGTGGTTCATGTCAGTCCATGGAACCAACATTTGCTATAGAAACATTGCTGAGAACTGACCGATTCTAGTTCATCTCTTTAGGCAAGTTCTCCAGAACCAGAAAACCGCACATACGTTCGTTCAGGAGTACCAGTAAACCCCCTAACATTCATCATCATCGTCATCATCATCATCATCATCACCATCATCATCACCACCATCGACAGCATGACATCAGTGTTCAACACCGATGCATCACTGCCGTACAACCATGATTTATTTGAAAGCCTTATTGTGGAGAAAAGAGTAAAGGTGGACGGGGAAGGGACTTAGTGCTAGCTTACCACAATCATTCCGAGGTGCCTGCACCTCCAGACATTCACTCAGGCAATCTGGATAGAAACTGACAACAAGAACGCCACTGACATCGGTTGGCAGCCATATCTTGTAGTGTCCCCAAACATGCACAGCGAGGATCACACGGTCCCCATCCTGGAAGGTGAGTAGCATCGACAGCACCCAGGCGTTTCGTGATCTCCTTCATGCTTCTCTGCCAAGTCAGGTGTTGGCCACCTCTCCTAACATTAGACAACCTTTAACCAAAAAAGAGCACTAGCAACCTGGGCCATTGCACAAAAGAGCACGTGTCAGCTTACTTTTCTCGGCGCTCTGATTTTGGTGTGGTAAATTGAAGAAATTTGCGGCAAAATACGTGTTTCTGTTGCTGTTGGTGGTGTCGTGTTTGTTGCTTCTGAGGATCACTTCTTTGGCACTCCTCTTCCGCGTGTGTTGTGGGGATAGGCCGAAATTCCGATTGCTGGTTTGCGCATTCAGGGAGCGGTTGATCGCACGACTCACTGCCTGAAAATTGTCCTTCTGCGTTTTCCGGTGGTTGTTTTGGTATCGAATCGACCTTAAGCAGAGGATGACTGTCTCGTAATGTCAAACTTTTCGAAGTGGTGCTACTCCCAATGTAGTCCCTTGGAGGCTTATGATGATCAACAGGTTTGAGGAACGTCAAACCATAAATCTAAAAGTTTTTTTTCAAAACAGCCATTTATGAGCGTGGAACTAGCGAACAATAATAACTGGATAAAACATTTCGAGACGATCGGTTAGAATGTATATGCATTATAAAGCTGATTCATATAAAAATTCAGTTTTACACTGCTGTAATCTCTGAATCAACCTAGAAAATTGTTCCACTTTGAAATAGTTTATGTGACCAAGTAACTCTGACAAAAGAATCTGCGATAGCTTATTCCAAACAAATGAGCTATTTCTAACATGGACAAAAGTGATTTCAAAATGAGCTCATTGGAAATTCGATTTCAGCGTTTAAAGTGGCCTCAAAACGTTAACACGGAAAAGCAATGTCTGATTTAGAATATAAGATGGTAATTGTTACTAGATGGACATATGCAGCCGACAATTCCGAATGCGGTTTTATTAGTTTATTCTATTAGTTTTATTAGTCCTTAATGTCACCAAACTGGAACCCGTGCGGTACACCAAAAAAGTTCATGAAACAAAATCTATTAAGTATAATTTGTGGTGGTTAACTGGCACACAACTAAAATATGGTCAAAGCTTAACCACACTGCTTTTCAGCCACACATTACCCCGAATTTCATCGGTCAAAGTTGGGTGGTGAGTCACCTATCAAGTTGTATGAAGGAAGCCTCAATAAGAATGGATAATATACGTGTCGTTGCTGCATAGCCACGACAGAAATAGTTAAAAATATAACAATGGTCTAATGGGAAACAAAACATCAAGAATAAATTGTATCACACCAAATGGCCGTGTCATACACCATAGATGTACGTTGCTACTTTAAATCGTATCAGTTCTACTAACCCCAGGGTTTCCCGGGTACGGCTCGTGAACTATGATGGAATCTTCGCCTTGATTCATGATTTCAGCGTCTTCCTGGGGGAGTTCGGAATCCTCGCCCATTTTACTTTCTTCTTCGAAACTCGACAAACCAGAGTTCGCCGGCAAGCAGTTCACATGCCGTGCATCGGAGAACAGGTCCACTACGGTCTGTAACCGCATTAGTTCTCTGGAACGTCCCGTGTTTGTATTCAACAGAAAGAAGCGTGGGGTGTGCTCGTCACACCTAGTTGGCATCTGGTGGACCTCACCAGTATCATCGGCAGTCCCATCCAAAATGTCCTCTAGCATTTCAGCCGCAAGCCTATCCACAGTTTTGGAATCCTCTTCAGCCATTTCACCAGAGTGTTCAGCTAAAACACAGTTGATGGTTGATGAACGCAATAGTGTGAATGTAAAATAGTGGAGGAATTCGGTACAAAGTATCCAATAAAGCGGTTTACCCTTGGATTTTCCAAAGGGACCGTCGTGGATCTACCTTCGTCACAGACGCTGAGTCATTCAATTAGAAAATTCATTTTTAATTGACTGAAAATTGCGAAGCCATTAAAAAGCCGCGTTCCGTTATTTTTTAGACTAAACGATAGGACATAGCTGTTAGTCCACTTTACACTCTCAAGTCTCCTGCAAACAAGAAACCTAGCACCTATCTAAGCGTAACAGGCTACTCATAAGGTTGCTGAAACTCTGACAACCCGTGACCGGTTCCGTACTACTTTGGTCCCATCAGGTAGGCACCGTCCCAGCATTTCGCTCAACTATATGTTTCACTTGAAGCGGACCGTCATAAACAAGGATTCGGAAAGCAGCGATGTCTTTACATCACTGTTCGCTTCAACACAGCACACTGAGTTGCTGAGAAAGCAAGCAAACAGGTGGGTTAGGGTCAAGATCATGGCGCACGCTACACTAAAAGCGTACGGTTATTATAGCGAGCTAGTGAGTAAATTCTCATGTTACACGACTCTCGTAATCAGTGTGTGGTTAAGCGGCGAATATCTATTGGGTGATTGCGCAACCATTCTCCAATTAGCATCCGTCATCAAATGAATCACAATGATGTTGACAATGCGTTTGTCAAAACCGAATGATTTTTCTGAACTGGCATATTATGGTAGCACCAGGTGACGCTGCCAGCAGTGATACACCGACTTTCGTTGACCCGAATGACAGATCTCAGGTTAATTTTAACACTGTAAGGCAGTTTGCCGGAACATGGGGCACTCCAATAGGGTTCGACGAATTAAATGCTGTTTAGTTTACGCAAGAAGGGCCGTTCAGTTAAAAAAATTGAGGGACGCAAATAATTTTTCGATCCTACCATTCGGCTGACTGATGGCAATTCAGAGTAAGGTGTGCTAGCCACAGTGTTGGACTGGTGTATGCAATTCGCCTACTACATGGTCCACCGAAGTCAACTATGACGTGCGCTACTGGTGAAACTGATCAGTAGAACAAAAACAGGGTTATACTACTGATAGTCGTTTCTTTGAAAGTATATTTTTGTGCTGAGGAATTTCAACTTCTGGAAGAGTTTTCTAGACTAATTCTCCTACCGGTTTCTTCTGGAATACATTAGCTGAATCGGTTGAAACCTTCCTTCAAATAAATAAAATGTTAGAATAAATAAAGAAAGTAAATTAAAAGAAAATTGTGAGTTAGTTTTCCGATGATATCTGGAATGCTGAGTTTTGAAAGCGTAGCGTACCAGTTCACTCTTACTATCCGTTATTTTGTCCTTTTTCTTCATGCAGTTCTCCGTATAAGACAGCAACTTAGTCTCAGTATCACCAAAATACGATGGCCTTCATAGTTTCCGACTCGAAAGTAGCCAAACTCAAATGAGAGTACTGCGGGCTTATTCAAAGACATCTGAAAGACAGCTATTTGTCGCACATATACACTTTTTCAGGCGTTTTCCTGGTGAGCGTAACCATGGTAATTTAAATCAGTGTGCAAAAAAATATTTCTCGTTGCAAACTTCCGTAGGTCTTGTAAAGCAAAATCACAGCGAGCATAATCGCGATGTTCACTGGATTGCGTGATCAACAAGTGAAAAGCAAACCAGATGGGAACGCGATTTTATTGGATTTTCCATGAAATTCAAGTGTAATGATTGCCACTGTAAGTGCTTATCTTCATCTGACGTTTGTTTCAGGGTAATCTAATGTAATTTAGGAAGTTGTAGTCACGTCCGACTGTCTGTGAAAGAGCCGAAAACAGTATTGTTATGAATGGTCATATTCACGCAGTTGTACCTACCAAGCTGGAACGTACGAACCAATATGAGCTATTGTCAGAAAAGCTGCTACACTATTGTTGGCCCAAAATGCGGTCGCGTGAGTCCCTTATTCTTTTGCTGCAGTTTTCGGAATACTGCTTCTTATTTCCGCATTTTGAAAGAGTTGCAGACTACAGTGTTCATGTCAACAGCGTCTCCGTTTGGCTTAGAATTGTTGCATTTTACCAGACTGCGGAATTACTTCAAGGTAGTGTGTTTCACAAATATCTGTTATCTTAGCGACCCACTACCCACTGCTATGACACTTGACAGTGAAATATAAGCATAAATTGCTCAAGCCGGCGCTACATTTGTTTGCCCTGTGAAACGCGTCTGCGCAAAACACGACCTGCGCACTGACACCAAGATTGCGATATACGTAACTGTTATCCTGTCTTCTCCGCGGTAAAGCAGTGAGACCTGAATATTCCAAAAGCCATGTGTTCAATTTCGTGGCCGAGCCACATTGCACTTACTGCGCCAAATCCCCCGGACCGAATTGAACGGCAATCCTCAACATTAAGGTCCCTCACTGCTGGAGGTAGATAAGGTCTGATCTAAACCTAGCTTTGGTGGTTAGGCCACTTTAAATACATACCTGAAACTCGTATCTCAACTGAAAGATGGAGACCGAAATCTGGAATGACTTAAATTGGAAATTTTATTTCAGATCACGGGAAGATCTGGCATTCAACCATTATTCGAACAGGCGTGAGCGATCATGAGAAGCGACGTGATGCAATACCTGAAACATTATGAAGGAGCCGATTCATCCCAATGCAACTTCGCCCATGTGAACTTGCACCAAATGCGGGCGTACTTGCCCCCGTGTGGTAGACCCCGTTGGTAAGTAGTATATTCATTGGTCCACCTGCTAAACGTCGCCTTCTTGGTCTCAGGCAATTTTGTTCTATTTTCTGATGACTATCCGCCCAACAGTTTCTTTCTAAGCGTACAATAGAGGCACAGCCTCGACGGTCTGATAGAATATCAATTACTGACTGAAACACCAGGTCATCATAAACTTTCTGCAATTATCTGAACTCCTCAGTGCCTGAAGACCAAAAAATCACCCAAAATTAGGAAAATTCTAACGACTTCTTTTTGATATTTCAAGTGTGACGTTTACTCAGAAAACTGTCGAAGAGGTGAAGTTGAGCCATGCGAGGAAACAGCGAAGCTGGAGTTACAGAAATTCGGTTTGGGTCATTAAAACTACTTACGCCTAAGATAGAGGCAGATTCGAAGTGCTACATATTTTTGGAACGAATATGGTTTGTTCTTGGGAGATAACGAGTTTTCAGTGCACAATGTTGTAAATTTGAAACTCGGACAGTGCTCACTGCACCATAATATTTTATTTGGATGGAGATGCTGATGAGAAAAAAACGAGAAGAAATCCCAAAGTGGCACTCACAAAACTTTCAAGATCACCGAATAACTCAAGAATCCGATTTTATGGCAGGACAAAGCCTCAGGTCCGGACCACTTACTAGTTTGTTAAAAGAACTAATTGATTAGAGTTCTGGCAATTTTTGCGCACTTCTTCCAAAACCCGTTCTACAAACGTTGAAGCGTAAGCCTTACCCCAGAAAGGGCTTGCATTTCAAGAGAGATAGGATATTTCTTTTTATCGGCCTCTTTTGATGCAATAACAGTGTTATCAGCTTCGTAACCAAGTTCAGTAGCAATTCGTCCTGAATTCAGTTCAAACAGGAGGACACAAATACAGAAAGCATGGAACAAGATTAAACAACTTCATCAGTCGCCTTTCCTAAAGATTCTTCAGAGAATAAGAAAAATAACTTCTTATCTACCTGTCAGTAACACGTTGCAGTTTGCCATATTGTCAACATTGAACATATTTCCACTTGGATCAGTAGTTTCAAACATGACTGAATCTCCATCATATCTCATGGCGTACTCAGTTTGAAAAACGCCAGCTTCCGGATGATCAACCAGTGTCTTCGGGGAGGAGGTGTAGAACACCTTCCCGTTTGACATAATACTCACTTCTCCCCCTTGTTTGGGCTGGAGACAAAAGATACAAGTGCACTGTGAGACCCTGGACCAATTAATCCATACAGTTAATCGACAAGACAAAACAAGGAGCACCTTTTTGCTGGTCCTTGAATAGCAATGTATGTGCTCAAGACAGTCGCGATATGCCCAAAATTTCACCCGGTAAGATTCTCGAAATCATTCACGTCATCCTTAGCTGACACAAAATCTTATGTGATTTGTCCTCCACTACTGGCTTTTTACTAGTCATCCACATTATTGAATACAGCCTTCAAAAAACGTAATAGTTACTCGAGGGAAACGCGCCGGAAATTCGAGTCCCTAAAAAACTTCAACTGGTCTCTTCTTTCATGCACCGTTGCCTATGGAAGATGTATGCACCAGTTTGTGGAGTTTCTTCAATTAGAGAGCGTATCCTACGGCGAACACTAGGATTTACCAAAGTCACTTCGTCCGAGTGGGCTACAGTACGTTGAGAACCTGCTTAATTTATCTCAGGTTATCGTTCTGATTAGTCTATCCAAGTGTAAGTTCAGGGACGACTGCATCCAGTGTATATCATGTGAGTGTTGTTCTAACTACATCGTTTGAGATTTTCGTCAAAGGAATTCAATTTTTGTGTAAAATCACGGTGATTTCCACAGTCTATAATGTATACAAAGTTAACCGTCAATCGTAGATCCCCGTCGAGCTGAGGCCTCAAAATATTCCGTGTCTGGAGAACGATGCCTTACGAAGCTTGGACCTGCATGTTACAGTAAGCAGTTGTCTTCTTCAGCTTTCACTAGTTCAGTGAAACAAAAATAGACATCTCCTTTTGGGGAAGAATCCCGCAGGCTAAATTCCTTGATAGGCTACGTCCACATTTTGCCAGACTAAGGGAAGTAATTACGTCATAATCGCACACAGGAGAAAAGACAAACACATACAAATTGCAGAGTCAATTCGGGGCATGAACGCAAGATTTTAAACCCTTCTGGCGAATAATTCAAGAAAAACGTGATTCTATTGAAATATACAGTGAAATTTTACGAAAACGCCTCTGAATCTTTACTATTTGGTTTGTTCTCTTAGTATCATTACCCAACCAATTCGACTCTATATTTTCATGCAAGAACTTAATTTCTGCCCTAAAACGTGCGCTCAAAAAGGGTTTCATTTAAAAGAACCCAACCCGCTGGCAGCATCTTTGTTTTGCTAAAGCCTCTAAGAAACAAGTAGACCTGTTCAAAACATTTCGCTGATAACTCGTCAGGCAAATGCCATTGATAACGACAGTATTTGTCAGTCAACCGAACGAAAAATACTGTAACCCGTTGTGTGTGTTTGCGTGAAACCACTAGCTTCAGTTTAACTCCCACCTCCCCATCTCTGAGTTGCTCGTAATTCTTTGAGAGTGACAAAGTTGAAAATTTCGATAAACTAAAAAATAACGCTGGAACAAATGCAAATTGGTAACCAAAACATTCTCCGAACAGAACCATTCTTTGTGCTCCCATGGTAATCAAATTTTCAGAATCAGCAAGGTAATAAATCGTTTTCGAGGAGAATAATTATAGAGATTGTCCTCGAGGAAACAAAGTGGGGAAGTCTGGATTAGCAGTTCAAGTGTGTTCTGGAAAATTATTTCTACAGGCTTTATCTGTGGTTCTACTGGTTGTCGCCTTTATTCGGGCTCAGAAAAACAGGAAGGCGAATAATTTGGTTTCACCTACCACTAACAGGTGCCTGCCATCTGCCGTTGAAAACAGTTTTGAACCTTCGATGTCCTGAGCAAACAGAGAAGTTTCCAATTCTCCAGTGGAATGATCAAGCACGATCGTTGGAAATCCTGGGCATTCTGTACGAATCACGAGTTGAGCTGGTAGTTCTCTACATTCGGTTAACCAATTAGGATCAAATTTTTTTCCACAGGCTTTTGTGAATGATCCAACATTATTCTATTTGGTAAAACGAGAAATGAAATATTTCTGGGATGAAAACCTACGAAGTTAGGGTTAAACAGAGTTCAAAAACGATACCATTACTTGTAAGAAAGTGGATGATAAAAGTGGCAAAGCGTAAGCAATCGACTATTGAAAGGAAATTTTTCTTGGACAGTCGAGTAACTTTTTTACTGTTCGCTGAGACAATTCGATCTGCCTCGTTGATAACCCACAACTAGTACCTAGTATTACATATATTGAAAAGCATCGGTCTAGGCTATAAGTGTAGCATTGTTAATCCTTGCTTAATAAAGTGATCCAATGCCTCGCTGATTTCAATCCGAAAAGTCAAACGGTGAAATATCAAGGGTATCGGGAGGGGCAGTCGTGATATCTTCCGTAAAAACTGCCAGATGCAGCGGGTAATAGTAGGGGCTCTCTCTATCTATCGAGTCTCCGCTACCAAGGACAGAATCCTGGAATTTCTCTCCTCGGTATCCCTCGCGGATACTTCAGGTAGGCACAACCAACAACACTATTGCCACAGGTGAAAGCAGTGGGGTTTTCTTACCATTGTTCGAAAGTTCAGTGGTGCTAAAACGATAGAAGGTGATCTTCGGAACTCTTATCAGCGTTTCCCACCATGAATTCGAATGATCGTGTGGCTTTTATCACTGGCCACATGAAGAACGTTCAGTTTTTTTCGACCAAATCACTTTGCATAGCTTTACTGAAGACTCGTCCACAGACGACAACCTCCCTCATTCTTCTTGGGGTCCATCAGGGAGGCGCGATTCCCGAGTTTCTGCCAGCCTCATTCATATTCTACTTGAACACCAAATACTGTAGGGCTGGAAAAATTAGACTGGTTTTGATGAGGAATTCGACTGGATTCCACGGGATCCCTTATTTGTGCCAATATGATGAGCTCAAAATAGGGGTAAAACTGGGACGTTTGTTCCGTCAAGGAAGTATACTGTAATGTCTCGCATACCGCATCTGCTAGAACTTGGAAAATATGTGAACACCTTTTAGATGAAGGTTATCAGAAACCTGAACTAAACCTGCCTTCAGGCTTTTTTCGAATGAAAACATGCTGCACAAAACCCAACATCATACAACAAATGGCGTATGAACGTTTAAAGCTAGTTGACTTGATGAAAGTTCATAATCATTCAGTAGGTTGTTACACACTGAGATTACTCCATGACTCACACTAGATGCAGTCAAATGACACGAGCAACGTGAAACTGCTTCGCCCTCCGAAAAGTTGCTCAGACGATCGACATTCCTCGAGGTACAGATTCCAGTTGCATGTAGTCCAAATGTATAACGTACCCGATAGTGAACTCTTCTTCTTATCAATGTGGTAAGTAGTGCTCCAAGTATTTTGGAGGACGAAAATTCATATTGAAACCGTTTCTAAATTATATTGCTTATTAATAAATTCCACTCAGTTACATTTTGTCATGTTTACTCCCCCTCCCTAGAAAATAATCAGGAAGAAACGTGAAGTTGAAATCGGTGTGCACTTGTTCCGGTTTGAGTAATTTGCTACTCAAAATACGGCCAATTCAGAATAATAATCAAAATGTCTGTCATACATTTTTGAAATGAGAATAGCCCTTGGTGGTTTTCAGTAAGAGATATAAATTCCATAAATGTGACATCGTTCACAGGGCGGTGATTCGATTTCAGCCTCAAGCCATTATAAGGTTTTTTGTCAGAGTGATGCAACCCGTAGACGGGTTATTGTAGAAAGAGAATTTTTACACTGCAAAACGGTAAAACCTAAAGCTTGGGAGATACGGAGTCTGTTGGTGCTACTCAGAATGACGTCTAAATCACCCTTCAACTAGCGTTCTGGAGGCGTTGCCATGTCATATTGGTCCCACCATGGTGTTTAGGACTCCTCTGGTTCAGCCAACCTAAAAATAGTCCTCAGTACGTGGTCCTTGGGTCGCTACTGACTCTGGCTTTTGTTTGAAAGAAGGCTACATCTTGTTTTCACCGTATTTTAATTTGTTATGAAAAATAAGGATAGGAACCTCCCTGCCGACCGGAAAAAGCAAAACACTGCCTTTCCTTCGGCTAACTGCAGCCACGATAACAGGCTGCCTAGTTGACCGTGATGGGTTTGCATAGGGTAGGCAAAATGGTACTTCGACAAAACAGTTTCACAACTGTTCCCCTGTTTGCCGCTATAGTACTCAGCCATGGAAATTGTGTGGAACACTTCGGGTGAATACTCTACCTCTTTTTCTAACAAGTCTTACGAAGCCAGGTAAGTTTACAGAGACGTCCTAATGCATTATCCTGGTGGCAGTATTCTAACAACAAGCCTACTGATGGGAGTTTGTCTATTTCTAAAACAATAACAAAGATGAGATCCGGCGACGGAATACTGTAAACAACCATAGTGTTTATATCCATTTTTATTCTGTGTTCTGATCCTTTCATTTTTGTTGCAAACGCCTGTTGACAAATCGAATTGAGATCAACAATATTTAGTTCACCATACTAAGCTGTGCTTTGATGTGCCGTCGAAAGCCATCAGGACTGTCTATGTGTACTAGAAATTTTTCGATAGCTTCATTGAGGGGTTTGCTCAGTCTACAGATAATCGAAAGTTCACCCTAGCGTACAATCTTTCATTTTGAAGAAACCTAACACATAAAATTCATTATGATATTTTGTGCTATAATTGGAACACACTTATGCTGGAAAAAGGAAAAGCTGCTTGCAGCTGCCTCCTCCTTGTCAGTACTTATCGGTACTGCATACCCAAAAAATTCGGATCGGTCTACAAACCACCACATTCACCCTAGTGAGTTGTACCAGATGGCCCAGTGGTTAGAGCGTGGATACAATAACCGAAAGGTCCGTGGTTCGAATGCGACCTCTGCCTCTCCGCTTCCACTGCCTAGTTTTGGACAAGCTGACAGTATTCCAGTCCTCGTGTTTCCTTCGGGTGGCATAGCAGCTAGAAAGGGAACTGAAGTTGAACGGTTATTATTATTTTATAAGTAAGTTGTAAAAAGCCGTTCGACGAAGAGTCAGTGATCAGCAGTGTGATTACATCTCACCAGGATAGGCTATAGGGCGCTTATCCTTCATTCACGGAATCCACATTACGAGGTCACACAACTGAGGTGAGCTGTGCTGATTCTTCCCAAAAAGGATCAAACATTTGTACAGTGCTTCTCACGTTTTAGCCTAGACTGACTTCATTTACCCGACGAGATCTTCTCACACAACCAACGGTAGTATGACAGTTCTAGTTCCAACTACACTGTTTATTCTGAGTACTGACTTGCTCTCCCACTGCTAACAACTGAGAACTCATTACACAAAATAAGTCTGTAGTTCAAAAGATGGTGCAGATGCTCGGGCAATTTAGCACAAAGCTACTGATTCCAGAAGCAGGAAACACTCAAGGCTGTGCAAAACTTATCCAGAATATCGCACTGCTTTTTAATGGTAGCCGTCCAAGGCCTACAAAAACATTCCCGATTCGACACTTTGTAATGTCTGAATCCATTGTGGTTCACCCTGTATTTCATAGCAAGTTTTGTGCGTATTCCACTATCCCTTGCTTTTTTCTCGCTACCGGAATTGTGAATCACCTATTGTTTTATTACAGCTGTCGTTTGTTGGATCTCCGGGGACTATGATGGCTGGGTGCTAAACGCATTCTAATTAGACTTATTCGAACTATAAAAAGAATAAACCAAAAATAAGACGCTTCTGCCGGAATGAAAACGTTGATGAGATTGAGGGGTTATTAGTGTTATAATTTTTGATTTCAGTATTATTGTTTTTAACCTGGTATTCTGGGTGGTCAGAGTGAAGGTTGACTCCGAAAATCAATAGTTATACATATATATATATATATATATATATATATATATATCAGACGAGGAGATTCATTGTCAACCAGGCCAACCGGCACGTATTTGTTCATTTTTGTTGTACTTAATGATAAAAACAACTGATAACAGCAACGTTTTCCGGGCATGTGCAGTGTTGAATATATCAGTTCGATTGAGAGCCCACGTTCCAAATCAAACTGCGATTACCATCCAACAAGGCCATCATAAAAAGCAAAAAAGAAACTAACCGCCGGCTGGAATCACCCAGCTACATGAAATCCAGCATGATGAGTTGTCTCGTATGTACAGAGCCATAATCCAGAAGACAGTTAAGTTCAGTAAATCACGATATTTCCATTCGAAGTACAGATAACCTGTCTCGGTCAATTGAAAATTCCTTTTTAATCAGTTAGATCGACAACGTACCACCCTCCAATTATTCTGGTAATTTTGGCTTCAAATTTTCCCTATACGATTGAGGTCAAACTTGCTGTGGCCTCTTTCATTTGAAGAAAACTTAAACACATGGGACGGGAGGAGCGGAGGTTCAAACCTACCAATCACCACACTATGTACATGTGTATATTCACAAAAGGCAGTCCCCTGACCACTAGCACTACGTTAATTGCATCGCTCTGCTCCCCATGCATATTTTCAACAATCTCCGCCTTTACCTCTTACTCGATCGAGTTAAAGCAATATTTGACATGATGTGCAAACCGTCATTCGACAACCCACCTCGTAATTGGTCTTCTACACTGAGGCGCTTTACATGCAATTTGCATTGGACAACTATACAGCTGTTTTTTCAACCACGACCATATCCCTTCTGTAGTAACCGAGAGCTCTGTTTGAGCATCGTCTAATTAGGGGATGATCAAGTTAGCCATAACTGGTTAGTGACAGGTGGCTTGTTTAGAAGTACGATGACATTCCGGTTCGCCTATTGTCATTTCCTATTAGGGGAATTGCATTGCACGCCTATACAGATCTTTGAGACAAGTGCAAATAAGAGGTTATTTTAGCCCTACTAAAAGATTAGATTACGTCGACTTTTAAAAGCCCATTCAAACCTTGGATGCGGATTCTAGCTGTGATATTTGTGATGTTTGTAACAGTTACGTCTTACTAATATTATTTTTGTATTTGGCAGTTGTAATATTTTTCTTCTGCATAGTACGACGCAAACTGTTTTATTTCAAAAGTGCCCAACATCGTTATTTATTTTGGGTGCCGCGAAGGAATATATAATGTTTGATAAAAATATTGCACCTAGTTTGCCCATAGAATGCGAGTTTCTGTCAGATTAGTAAGTGTACGTGAACTGTGTCACCCTAATTTCAAATAGCCCTTCTGTTCATTTTACATTTTTGCCGGGTGACACCAAATACTGAATGAACGGACCAGATTTTCTCTCCTACCATAGTTGACTGGCTGTGCGTAAGCTTGGAAACGATGAGAGCTGAACTTCAGTTGTCCTACTTGGGAGACTGTTTTGTCATTCCATCACACACGAAAAATAAACGCACTTAAATTATCATCAGCGTAAAAGCAATGTATCGACACTCCAGCGGTTCAATTCAATGACTGCTCTGTTTTCGGCGCTGATGCGTACGTCAGGTTTTTCTATCAGGTTTTCATCTGAACGTTTTCAGCAACCCGGACAATAATCAGTCGTACAAAACCATGCGCACCGCTCAAGTAAATGCCAGTGTGCTTTTGTTGTGAACTAGCCAAACCATGAAGAGTGCAGTTTGGACATAAGTGATATTTAAAGAAATTCTTTAAATCCCTTAGCAGGTTACAAATATTCTGCTAGCTTTTGTTCCAACCTAAAATCCAGTGTTCCCTCTAGGTCCCTCGAAGTCGGTTACCTTGACATCCTCAGTCGGAGGCATTGGTACTACTTATTCCTGGATGCTGTTTAAACTAGCGTCGCTGTTTGGCGTGGTGCTTTGTAAACCGATCGTAACGAGATACAGCATTACCAGAAACAGACTTCACTTACCTGGTAGGACATCAGCTGCGTTTGACGCGTTCCATCCGGATGTTGAACTATTAGGTTGATATGATCAGCTGATGCTTTATGCCACAGTATCAGGGAATCTTCTGGGCGCGTAAGCACTGTCTGACCAGTAGCAGGGTCATAAGAACGGTGCACCGTTAGAAAAGAACGAGCCGGAAGGATGTCCAAAGTGGTCTGTTCTTTGGAAGACTTATTGCCAGTTGGACTGGATCTCGTCTTCAGCCAGTATCGGGTGCCAGCTACCAGTGTAACAAGCCATAAGACAACATCTTCCGTTACTTTTTCACTCGCGGCATCAACGTTGTCAGAAATAGTGAGATGTGCGGATGGTATTCGAGAATTTTCTTTTGTAACGCCGACTTCGTTCTCTATAACAAAATCAGAAGAATTCACATAATTTTACCACTCAGGTGGCCAAATAAGGCAATCCGTATCTTTAACTGAAAATAACAAAAGTGTAGGAGTGACATTCGAGAAAAAGTCCTCATCATAAACCGTTTTTCACACGCTGCGCAGCAACAAAGAACTCGGTTACGAATTTTGAAGGAAAATTAACCTGAGTTTCTTGTGGGCACCAGCTGGATTCTTCGGTTGGTTCAACCTATGTTTGGAAATTTCAAATTTTGGCATGAAAGTGCTTTCCAACAAAATCTGACAGTTATTTTTACGTTTTTGGAATCTGTGCTTTAGCTAAGATCAAGATTGTCTATTTTACGTGGTACTCTCCCCACGAATCTTGTCATCGTCACACAGATTAAAAAAGTAGCGCTGGTCAACTTGTTTCCAACAACAACTTTGAGATTGGTTAAACACTTTGCAAAGTCCATCCGCTGAAACTCTTATTATTAGACAGTGTCCGCTTAATCTCTAATTCGTGCTTCTTGCTAGACGTTTTAGCACACGTTACATTCACTCGCCGTACTCAGTCACTGCAGGCTATCCCCGTTACTCATAGAGGAACACCGCATCAATGACAGAGAAGGTTCAGAAGGATATCGCACCCGTTTCGTTTATAATACGGGCACTGCCAGAATAGAATTCAAGCTGCTGGAGTTCGCTTTCTGAATGCAATTTATCAACATTACATCGCTTCAGCTCAGAATGCCACTTGCTTGCTCGTGTGACCAGTAATATCTCCAATGATCAGACCAAATGTATGAGTCAGTCACAACTAACAGTTAGCGTGTAACGTCGTGGTAAACTAGTACTTTCAGTAATGTCGCATCAAGAAAATCATTTCCGTTCCAAGTGAAACATGACTTAACCAGTGAGCAATACTTTTATTGAAAAAATACGATAAGTGATCCCCATCACCATTATCAGGTGTAGGAATCGCTGCCTGTCGTACAGTGGTCGCACCTGCCACGGTTTCGTCCACCGATGATTTGACGGAGCTAGGTAGCTGTGCATTGGAAACGGAAGCTGATAGATTGATTCCTAAATACAGGTCTCTCAGCGGACTTTTGAATGGGGAGATTGAGATTGAGGGCAATAGCTTGGATTCACGAGCGCCATTAATGGAGCGACTGGGCCGTGTCTCAAAACGTCTCTAACGGTTGATGTGGCCCGTCCCGGGGTTCACATGCAGCGAAACGGCAATGACCAGCGCAACTGAGTTTATTGTATCCGAGGCTACTGTTAAAATCCAGCTATTATGGAAATAGTTGTTTAATTGCTCTCAGTGAAATTTGGCTTTGAGATTCAAAATGAGACCCAAATTGAGACCCAAGCGAAGCAAAATAGATAAAGAACCACGTTGTAGATTTCAGTTTCTCCATTTGCAGTGTCTAATCAGGATCACATTAACTGGATTGTGCAACTCAGCAGCTCGGCCTTCTCCATGGTCTTGAAAACCATCTGGTCCACTTCGCTTCACCTACTAGCCATCTTAAGACATTTCTAATACGTAAAACAAAACTGAGAATTCACTGTCAAGCACATTTCTTGATACAAAAAAATGACATTTTGGCATGTTGTCACATGAATTCTAGATAGACTAAATCCAGTAGTCATAGTCCCCGCCTCCACAGACCATACAGAACTCCTGACTGCAAAAAGCTACTTAAAAAAGAATTAGATTCGTCATGTCATGTGTAGAGACATTTAGATCACGGCTCGACCGGTAACTCTATGTCGATATATATGGTTTTATTAGATGGTTGATGAGATAACCACTGATCTGTTCACCGAGCTAGACAATTAACTTGATTGGTTTTCCTTCCAACCTTAAGTGATTGGTTCTTAAGGGGGTTTCCATATCTGGTATAATGCCTTCTCCCCGGTACATTCTGAATTTGTTTGGCATTGCTTCCTGGTTTTTTTTTTCGAATTTGTTTGACTTGACTAGTTTTCAACTTGTGCCAGAAGGCCCATAATTTCCATTAGTGATTCAAATATCTTTCTCTGTTGAAGGGTTGTTCCTACTTTGTTCAATCTAGTCATTTGCCTATTTGATTGAATGTGCACTGCAGTAAGCTTGCTTTTTGTCTCAAGGTTGGAACTGCCTGCTTTTTATTTATTTGTGCCTCCGCTGGTTTCACGTGAGATCTCGATCCTTGTCTTCCTGGACTTATTTTTCCCAAGTTATTGGTAGGTCCAGTGAACTTCAACAGGTTTTCGAACGGCTGTTTCGGTGGGGCAGCATGGCAACAGACATAAGCCAACTTCTCACTTATATAAACCCAATTAAGTAAAAGGAAGAGCTCACATAACCACACACCTTGATTTGTAGCGGACCGTTCGCGAGCCAGTTTCCAAGCTCGGCGAACAGGTAAGCGGCCACATGACCAACAACAACACCCAAACTACCGATATTTCGGTACATTTCCACTGGGAGAAATTTTAATCCGGTCCTCCAGCGGATACGCGTCCTGCTACATCCTATCTCCTGTTGCTGTTATATTGGACCTCAGCCAGTATCCGCTTCAAAAGAATGAATGCAGAAATTGCAACACATGAGTTCTCTAGAGGACACAGGCTAGCAACGGGTTTGCAAAACTTCTGGGGATGCCACGTTTTCAACCGCACATTTGTAATTTTAGTGCAGGTTGTTTAGCGAACGGACCAACTGTTGGATTTTAGCTTGGCTAATCCGGATGGCGGGAACTTCTGAATTTGTGTAATTTTGCCGATTCTGAGATGAACGTGTGCGACGTCACGCAATTAACGGCCCAGCTGTGATCGAAATATCACTACGCAAGAAAACTTACGCTATTCTTCTTGTTGTCTGAAGTCTAGTATTGATGATATGTAGCTGCGCATGCAATGATTTAATCTCGACTTAAAAGAGCTCCAACATTTCTGAGGCCACGATAAGAGCAACGTAGTTATGTGTGCCAACAGGGTCAAACAAAAAAAGCAGTCGTACACTGTCTGTATTCGCACTCCACTATCATTTAGATGTTTCTGTGTCCGGTTTAACATAAGCTGTACACAATATGTCTAGAATCTCGTGTGTCACAAAATTTATTGATTTGTAGGTAAAACAACCATACACTGTCCACCTCTTTCTCTAAGCCACCGTGAGTCAGTGTCATCTAACCTAAGGATTGTTGAAAGTTTCTATCGCGCAGGTTATATTAAATTATTAATAATAATAAATAATAACCAATAATTGATGTAGAGTTCCTCTCATGGCATCCGGATTTAAAAGATTTTATCGGCGCAACTGACCTTTTTTCGTCCTTTGACTTTTCTTTCCGCTCCCTACGGCATCCGAGCGACCTCTTCTTGAGGTTTCAGGTGTTCCTGTCGTTCCTCTCGTCTCCGGTATATTGCTCATCAGTTTTGTTGACTCCGCTGGCTCTTGCTGCGTGGCATCTGATGCAAACGCCGGTTGTTCGACTGTTTTAAGTGTTTTCCAATCCATAGTATTTGTTTCCATTCTGTCTCCACTTGGAAATAAAAGCTACGGTAAACCATCATTGAAGAAAACACTTGTGAGTTACAGTCACGATTCTTACACGGACTGAATTGTAGTTCATGGGAAAACGCTGTCTTGTAAAGGTTCGATATTTCAAGAAAAAAAGTCCCTCCAGCGAACGGACCTTTCGGTAATGTCATCGAGAATGTGTAGTACGGAATTGAACGGAAGCACAAATAAACCAGCTAAATGCCACCCAAAACTCAAAAATCGGACGCTCAATTCCCTTGTCATTAGTGGCCAAGTTGCCTTCCAACCCAAAACCATCCCTTCCTGTATGGTGACAGGCAGGTAGCTTCCTAATAAAACCTTGCTTACCCCAGTTAGCGGAGCATGAACTGATTCTTCACGTTAATCGGACCACCGCTGCAATCAACGCGCCTATGTCGCACGCCTGCTATCGTCATAGTAACAAAATGCATTAGAAACTCGAAGTCATAAATATCACAGCATTTTCAGAGAATTCCCAGCCTCAGTAATCACTGTGATTGTGAAGACTAAAGTCAAGCCTTCAAAACTACGAATTGCTTCGTCAATTATAATTTGCCAAAATTTGGTGCCTACAGGTAAGTGGGATTTGAGAAACCAGTATATCGCACCCTGTTTCAAATATTTGTCTAACAGTTTCAGTTTTTGAACGTGCACTTTGCCAACCAGCTCTACATAGGAGGCAAAAGTGCACTGACACAATAATTTTGTTCAGTCCTTACAATCAAAAGAATGAACTTGAAGCAAATTGCGCTCGGGTTCATCTAAAACAACAGATTGGACTTCATGCGCAAAGGAAATAACATTGTGTACAACCAAACCAAGTTTCAAAGGTCGTTAAATGGGAGAAAAAACATAGACTACCGAAAAATCAATACCCAAGGTACTATTCTGATCGCTTCATCAAAGAACACCCCACTTTAATTTAAAAATGAAAAGTGTCATTCACACTGTCGAAACCGAATCTTGGCATTTATGTTCCTCACACTGGTGATAGAGCTTTAAGGTTATTTGAAGGGGTACTAAACGTATCTCTGTACCAGACTTACAATGCAGAACAGATGTGTGCGAAAGCACACGAACTGTGCCACTGCCGCCAATCATGATGCAGTTTTACCTAAAGTGCAATGCATTTATCAGTTCGTCTGCAGTTGTGGTGAACAGCATATCGGTGAAACTGCCAGCAGGCTTAGAACCTGAGCAAAGTTGCAGTGCCTCTAAAACTTCTTGCAATGTCAGCCGAGCTTTACACAGCTGGTAACACCCAAGGTCATCGCTAGGCATCTTATAACTCAGGTCACAGAGTCAAACCCAAATCATCCTCCTGAGCTTTAGAACAAAACCAGAGGCGACAGATATTTAAATTTCCTGATACCACATTAACCTGTCTTTCTAAGTCTGTACTCTGCGCTCAGAAAGACCTACGGGTCAATCTGAGACTGCCTTGCATTTACTGATCATCCACGTCACTTTAGAGTCATACAAATGTTGTAAGCTGCATGGTATTGTTTTACACGTTTTAAGACGCAAGGCAGAGTAGGAAACGAACTGATTCTGATGTTTTCACGGCCTTGTTCAAATTCCACAGTATGCTTCTGATTGTGATCCAACTCTTTTGTCACAGTGGGCTTTTGACCTCGAGTCCCTTGGATTTATTCCGTATTAGACCACAACTTCCTACCTCGTATCGATGGCAGCGAACTAACTAAGTGACCAACTGCAGTAAACAGACGTGTGAACCGTGTGGAATGTTGCTTCACAGATACTTCATGCAATCCACTCAACGTAAAAAAGAAACTCGTACATTTTATTACTATCTTTGAAGGAGGAAATTTGGAAAGTCTCTCTTTCCGATGGTTCTGGCCCAGGTCATTATGAAAGTTACCTTCGTTCAACCTAGATGAAGCCTTCCTTTTGAGGTTATATCCTAACAGAACACATGACAGTCCCAAGCACGAAACCACGTTCACTGGTGTTCCGAACATTCACACCACCTGAACTCGAATACTTAATTAACTTGACTAGATCTTCTGGTAAACTGAATCGATAAACCCCTGGGGGGGCTTAGTAAAAGATGTATTCCTACATTACACTTTCACACTCAGTTGATGAAATTATAAAAATGTGGAATTCATTTGAGATTCAGTTGATGCTCTTGTTATGACCGACGTAACTTGAGGGTGAAGGAACCTCGTCAATCACACATAAATAGGGCTAATGTTGCCCAAAAACTCAGAGACAAGAAGGACAAGATTGGTCGCGAGCTGTCGGAGAGTTTCCAGTAATAATAAAAGAACTGTGTCCTCTACAATAACCCCTGGCTGTTTCTTTTGTTTTGAGTGATGTTAGCCGGCAGAATTAAGAACTTGTCTAGTGATCAAACGTCGGTGGTAACTTTGTTTAGGCTTCGTATCGGAACATGACTGGTCTATAAACTACCGTAAGGGCAAAACTCGAGTCCAGTGCTTCCACACTTACTGGAGGCATTGCACTGTCACTCCCCAAGAGTTTACACAAATATGGCGTGGATACTCGATGTCTCCGCTACAAGTCCTGAGATGTATAGGACAAACACATGGTATTATTTAGTTCCATTAGCCCATTTGCCTTAGCTGGTCCATTTCACTTCAAACATGTTTTAAAAATATCTGCGGCAAGGTTCGCATCCCATTTTCTAGTGTTTAGCACCGATCAGGCCGAATTCGATCAGTAGCTAATATTAGGTTTAATAACCAAGGCATATTATAACTGGACAAACGTAATACACTTACTATGATTCCAAGCTTGTCGTCTGACGTATCGTGGAGATCTTTTCGTAACAGACTAATTACAACTCCATCTTTGTTGAGATAGCGTTCAACTTCCGTTTCTTCTCTTCTCGTCTTGATGGAAACACCAGTTGGCGATTCTGGGGCTGCTCGCATTCTAATTATTGTTGTTCTCTTTTTATTTTCTGTGAGTTTGAACTCGCCACGATTTGAACAGTCACCATGGGTAGCCATTGATCCAGCCGGTCCAATCTCAGAAAAACCAGTTGATGGATCTTCGTTCGCTATAAAGTGTGGTTAACTGATCATATTGTTAGAACAATGACGAGTGAGTATTCTAGCTATCTCATTTCCTCGTGCGTTAAGGGGAATGGTTCCCCTAGATAAGCTTCAACGCACCGGTATCTTTCTCAACTCTTGACTGCACTTTCCCATCTAAGCACACGACCTTAGATGGTGAAGCCATTTTTCTGTTCGGATTATTCTTGAGGATGTCGATTTGATTAAATAACTTTCCTACCAATCAAAACCACCTGACTACGAGGCTGCGGCAAAATGTCTATGGTTTTATGCACTACCTTCGAGTTTCAGTTTTCACATTGAAAATCTAATGGATGAGGTTTTCCCACCCCAGTTTTCACTTGAAAATCTAATGGATGAGGTTTTCCCACCCATGGATCAAATCAGTTTTTTTTAACTAGCTAGATCTCCTGACGATTTTCGGTGACCTAACAAACAGCGTATAATATCCTAACGATTCTCTGACAACAAAATGTTAACTACACAAAACAGTTTGTAAGAGTTCCCGTTCGCACGCTTTTACCTATTTACTTTATTCCACATTTATGGAGCTGTGTATTCTTTGTGGAACGAAATTCTAAGAAGAATTAGTTATCAGTTTTCTTGTACTTCTGCTGTTCAAAAGAGTCCATAATCTAATTTCATGAGGGTAGCTTCTTGTAAGTTTTCGAATGCAGCTGCTTCCCATCCGAGTCGGTCTGCTTCTCAATCCAAGGAATGTTACGACCCGATGCTGAGAAGTGCATTTTTTCAAATCACTTTACACTGATGATGCACAACGAAATTCTCTTTTCAAAATTCCATTAAGACAGATTCTTCCTCGGCTTGGCACTTTGACCCCGTCGGTTCCAATTTCGAATTGCTGCAATTACTGAGCAAACCGATGGACTTGAAGTCATCTGAAACCTCTCTTTTTATCACATTAATTCTATATGTTGTATTCGTGTACAAGTAACTACTTTATCACATGTAATGTGCTAGTGGGAAACCAAAGGAGCGGCTTGTTTACTTTTATGCAGGATTTCCAGGACTCACGTGTTGCAGACAAAGACTGAATAAAAGATAGCTGTGTGCCGTCGGGAAGTGATAAGTGTAATGTTTGCCCTCCCGTAGGGTCGTCTCGTTTTGGTAACAGCTGTGATGTTTCGCCGTGATCATCTTGGGATTTGTCCACAACGGCTGCTCTGATTTTCTCCATTTCGATGTCCTGAGAGACAACAAATCACAATTTTCGGTGATTTTTTCGAGACATAGACTGAATGCACGCCAACCGATTCACCTACACTTGGACTTCCTGTCTAGGTCAGGAACAAACCATTACAGGGTTTCGGGTGAACGAGTTCGGTCGGCTGACTTGTAACTTGTGAGGATATTACTCTCACCACACACCGATATGGTGGTTAAGGGTCAATCCAAAATGCACTTGACATACAACCAGACACATTAATCACATTAATGGATGATCCTAGTAATTCTTATCGTCATAAAACATAAAATATGGGAATTATCTTGGAAGACTGTTTGATAAGAAAGCTACCAGTGAAAGGAAGAAGGCCTCCGCTGCGGAGTTATTTGATGGAAAACGCCAAATTTACAGTTACAGACTATTCGACAGAGAAGCAAAACTCTCATATGCACCTTGTTTATAAAAACTGTGTATCCGTCTTCTCGAACGTGTCTTCCTGACCTTTCCTGGATGCTCACTGACCATCACTCAAACTTAAACGAAGCGATTTCACAAATTCCGTAATAAATCTCACTTTTCGATAGAAGCGAAGCGGATTTGTGGGAAAACCACATATTACCCGCATACTCATCAGTAGTATTCGCCGTTACACCATTTTCACGCGGTTGAATCAAAATTACTCAGAATGTCTATAACACTCAATGAGTAAAATCCACTAAATTTAAGTTTTATGGAGAAAACTTACCTGAAAATCATATTACACAGTTTGCTTAAAATGTACCTCGTAACTTGCGTTCATAGCTGCCAATTTTTTTTCGATCTGGGAGCAAGACCTATGAGTTCAATGAGGGCTGCAATAAATGGTTCAGTAGACCAATAGCTCATCAATTCCTGAACTACCAGCGTTTATACGCAAGGACACGCTCAGACATCGCGACTGGTAACCGACTATACATTTTCATCATCATTAAAGACATACTGTCCTCGTTCAACATCGATGTTTGGCTGCCGTACAACAGTGCATTTTGGCCTTCCTGTGATGCTTTTTATCCCAAGGAAGTTTGTCGAGCCCACAAAGTCAACTTTTTATTTAGATCAGTAGACGTTTGTCGTTTGCATTCGCAAGACGAATTTGCGAACTACATTATTCTTACTTGCTACTCTTACGTAGGAAGAAGCAACCGAGTTCAGTACGAACTTGGCCAAACTGAACCCACTGGTGACTAGTAAGAAATCTAAAACCATCGAAAAGCATCATCATCACCATTTACACTATGAAAAGTCATCACCATCATCATTGTGTACAACATCAGAGGAGAACATGGGTGGTTCTCTGAAGTGCAAACAAGTCAATTAAAGTTCCTTAGGGCCTCATAACAGAAAGAATAAAGGAAGCTGACGGGATCTAAAGCTAGTCTACAACTCACATGCTAGGTGCCCACACCACAATAGAAATTGACAGCATGGAGGCCGTCCGTTAGCGCATCGGTTAGCTAACCATATTTCTCAATGTCTCTGGGCATACACAAGAAGGGTCAAGCAGACTCCATCCGGGATGGTTAACAGCACTAAGGGCACCCAAATTTTCCGTGACATCCTTCACTCCCTTCTACTATATCTCATTCTGTCCACCTCTAGGTTTTCACCATGTTGAGTAGAGCTTATGTCTGTAGACGGAAACTTGGTAAACGTAACCCAACCAACTTAGCTTGCAATGCTGGAAAAATTATTTGAGTGAAGCACCGTCTGTCTATCCCAAAATGTCTCCTAATCACCTCGTTGCGAATTCTTTGGTTCCAGCCGACTCCAGATATAGTTTTGAGTCATCGGTGGTCATAAGAGTGAACATGTCTCAGATCTTTCTTCCTAAGCGTCCGGGTCTCCCAGCCATACAACAAAGTATCCCACACTGTATACTTCTATGTATATATATATGTCCTTTTAGACCAAGCGGTATGATGTTTAGATGCCACAGGTGGTACCAATTGGACGCAAAATCATTTTGACCTTCGAGATTCTTTCGTTATTTTCGTCCGTCACGCTGTCTCCAGCTCTCGTTCCATAGCATCCATTGTCGATACTTGAACTTTTAGAGACATGTTCCAATAATGTCCATCCTGCAACATGACTTTACACCATGTGGGCGGGAAGCAATCCCGAAAGAATTAGGGCCCCTGTCAGCTATCCAAGTGTTGTTTTTACCTGCGGCTCTTTGTCAAAAATGAGGACAATATCGTTCGCACATTCCAAGTTAGCAAAGTCTCCTCGCAAAGAGATCCAAACAATGGCTTTCTACAAACCTTCCAGGGTTCACTTCATCACATCATGAGCAACATTACTGAGCAAAAATTGGGACAACGAACATCCATGTTGGACACCATTGCTTGTAATAAATCATTCTGATAGATCCCCATAAACTCCCCTATGCCCACGATTATGTGAATACCAACAGGGCATGATATTCACGGAATTTCAGGTCATGCTATGTTGTACAGCCTTGCTGAAATGGACCAAACGGGTCAAAAAATGCACGCACAAGAAACATCAAGATTCCAGGGTGCCTAAGGATATATCGTTGCTCTAGCAATTGACAGATTGCAAATATATGGTCTACATAGCCTCCGTCCTACCTGAATCCTGCTTGCTGTTCTCGAATCGCGCCTTCACACGACAAACTCCGGATATACACCCGAACAGTTAGTTACAAGTACATCCCACAACGGTTACCACAACACTTTCAGCACCATTAGAAATAAAAGCCCATCAGACCAGCTGTTTTACATCAAAACAGCTACACCAAACCCGTGTATTGTTTCAACGACCCACAACAGGATTCATTCCATTTGGAAGGGAACAGCTATAACACGCGATGAAAGCTAAACAATTTGGGTTGCTTGTCCGTGTTTGGTGGCATGGAATTATTTCAATGTCCATTGTGGTACTGGTCAGACGGCCTGAAAACTACCTCACTTTGCTAACTACCTGTGTTGAGATGCATGATACAACAGTGACTTGAGTGGATGTACACGTTGCTCAATTGGAACTGCTCATTCAAACAATACGGGATACAATCGCCACGACACGAAAAAATGACTTCTCACGCGGTTGCACGATATGGGGTGCGATAATCGGGGTCAGGCTACTGTTATTTTGGTGCATATTTAAGCCTCGTGAGCTGAAGATAGCATATTAATCTAAGAGCAGTTGTGGTATTCCTGGCTTGAACTACCGGGTGTAATACTTATAACGCTTCTCGTGTGAAACTGAGAGATATTAGTTTTCTTGGCTCGCAAGGGGTTTAATGACCAATACTGTGGTTAAATCTGACCGCTATTGGTTATACTCGCAACCAACAAAAAGCTCTAAAAGGGCCATACGCAAACTGCATGCTTTTTGTAACATCAGAAACCAACAAGTACCTGATTTACAACGACCTTTATCAGTGCATCAAACTGTTCCCGGAACTCTGTCTCTCAACAGCTTATATCGCTCACGTAACTTATTCTCGGTCCCCTGGGTAACCTGTGTCGGCCAACAGAATAGTTGGAGGTCTGAAAACACTATAAATAAACGTAATAAAGCAAACTTCTACTTACCTGTTGACATTATTCTACTGCGCAGAGGAGTTTCTAGACCTGCTAACATTTCGTACTGACAAACTTTCAGTTTCTTCATACTCCCCGAGTGGTAAAGCAAATGCAACTCCGACAGCGACAACCTTAGTTACATCGTGTCTGGGTCATATTCAGCCGACAGTGAAGCATCAGTGTTGAACACTGATGTCATGCTGTCGATCATGATAATGATGGTGATGATGATGATGATGATGATGATGATGATGATGATGATGATGATGATGATGATGATGATGATGATGATTCAGAGCATTTCAAGAAGGTATTATGCAGGTGTGGCCTATTCAGGCATGTTTGAGTGGTGATCTTGATTTCCTTAGATAGTTGTCTTTGATACTAATAGCAAGAACACTCGGGTTAAGACCAAGACTTGCAAAGGGGAACAGCGCACAGAATTTATTGCTGTAGACGTGACGTTGAGGCCTAATCCAAGTGGATATATATAACACCTATTATCTTAGGCTACTTATTACGTCTCAGTAGACAAAGATTTCAGTTCTGACCTTGATAAAGACCTCCATGTGTTTGCTCTACATCGACCGTCATGCACCATATCTATCCCACCAAAAATCTGTTAACAGTGGATGGTAAGCTTAGGAGCGTACAACTAAATTGTTTGGATTCACCTTGGAAAGGCATCTGTGTGTGTGATCGCCTTGAGAGACCGCCAAACTGATGCCATCAGAAAAGCAGATCGTTAGTGAACCAAAATGTTGCGCTTCACTGAGGTGTAGATCGGGGTAGGAGTTTACTGGACCATACCGGCAATCCTCCTGGCCTTTACCTTCTCCTTGACACTCGCAAGATGCAGCTGAACAACTGTGTTTTTCAGTTTTCTGGAAGCAAAATTGTCGGTCGACAGGACAGTATAAGAAAGTTTAAACAAATCAGATGATCCAAGTTTTGCCTTGAAGTCACTTAAATGAACTGTTTAGATTGCTGCCTACTTACTTATTTGGAATATAGAAAATACACACTACCCTAATGTTTCGCGGTGTGCTACACCAATATAATGTTTCTTGTGGGAAAACCGTTTGGAAAACGAACAACACTTTTAATAACTTGTGCAAAAAATAGTAGCTATCCGCACAGCTGCATTGAATAGCCCGTCTTTACATGCGTCACACTGTTTCAGCCAGTGTGGCTGGTAAAGAAGTACACGGTGTTGACATGACTAGCTAATAATGAAGTTAGTGAAAACCCTGCAGCACTTCACCATCACAGAAAACCTTCATAGAAAACTTCATTCAGGCAGGCGCAATATCTGAGTCTCTAGCAACCCTATATTCTAGTTGAACACAAATTATCAAATTACTATGATGGCAACAAGCGATTCGATCAATTGGATCGATTTCATAAACTGTGATTATTTGGCGACCGGAAAATACTGACCCTCAAATTTGTCAGACAGACTTTTGCAAAACCCTGGGCAACAGAATGGTTTGTTCACTTAATGTGTAATGCATGCCACCGAAACTTCGCAGAGCAAATGGAAAATCATATATTCGAGTTGTATTCTAGAAGCATGCATGCTGTTGGCAGTGAAGTGATGTGGCTTAAAATAATTTTATTATCTACCGTCTGCACTGAAATTTCGATAGGGGACACCTCTTATCGTTTTATCAGTTGTTTGTCTCTGCTGCCGGTCTAGCTGACATGCGCAGGTTTTTAAATACGAGGTTGCACACCTAGAAGATTTAGTGAATTAATGACCACACACTATCCTTGACCAAAGCAAGACACCTGGGATAAGAGGCAGTACACGAGGTCACACCGCTTGTCAGCCATGTGCTAGGTTTTCCATTTGGACAGCTTGACCTTGGCGTACCCTGCCAGCCTGTATCTACTGCCATTTCCTTACTGGCACCATGACAAACTCAATAGATCGTGACTAATCTACTTTGACAGGAGCCCATAGTACAATTATTCTTCAAATACTTCTATCAGATATCGTCTACGACCATTTGTTTGTGCTTGTGGCCGCCCATTCGGAATGGTGTAATCCTTTGGATTAAATGTGACCACTAAATACTGACTACACCTCAGTAAAAAAACAGACACTTTTCTTCCAGGGGAATATTTAAGATTCTTTAGCTTTTTTACACCCTTTGAGTTGACATCATTGCAAAATATAGGCAACCTTATCAAAATTAAGTCTTACATATCCATTTTACTTAAGTTTATATCTGAGTAGAACCATTATCGTAAAATCCTGTTGTTTTCTCTTACTCATACGTTACGGGAGATTCAGTGTAAGATAGTATTCCCGGACTTCAGGTTGTTTATTGTTCCCGTACTACGTCCTTGGTTCGTACATTAGAGTGGATACCATATACCGTTCTCCCTGTACACGTCTGTCCGCCAAATCTTATTTGGATACATTAAGCATGTCTACTATGTTTCAGTAAGTAGGCAAAGGCATTTAGGGAATATTCCGTCGTGTAGGTGAAAACAATTTATGCCGAAAAACCGAGAGGCAGTATACAGCTGCTTCACCCTTATTGGGATTTATCTGCATCGAATAAATCACAAAACTATTGGCCTCTCAGGTACGAAAGCTTAGCCTTTACCCACAAGCAGCTGAGTAGAGTTGTGATCCTGTCCAAGTGCCAGCAAATCACTGGGCCAATCGGACATTCATAGCCGAATGGTTAATCTTTCAGACTACTAGCCGGGAGGTCCCTGGTTGAAGACTCACGCAATGCTTCCCAGGAAGGATGAAACAGCTGTGCACGTCTTCTTGGCCTTTCAGAATAAATTAGCTCTATTTGCAGGAGGAAATCTAAACCAAAACTTCCCAAACCTCCTCACGCCAACTACCAAAGTCAGTTCAACTTGTACACTAAATTTGCTAGGGTCTTGGGTTATGGTGACAGACCTCATGAGTGCAGGTAAATGTAGGAACAGGTAGTATTGCAGCTTACGTTCCACAAAACAGGGTGGTACCAAAACAGGGTGGTCCTCAAGGAGGCAGGACGGCAATTTTCGTCTCCTGCCTTACCAAGCTCAGTCACTTTTTACACGAGCAAAGTCACTGGTCCGGTCAAATCACATATATAATCTTATCCCTATGAGTACACAAAGGTGCAATATTAAAAATTCCGTAAGCTACGGGATGATTTCTGCAGTAAGAGGCTAGCAATGAATCATGTGAACTGTTATTAAGGCATAAAGTTTACCGGTAAGCAATTTCTAGGGATCTGACACAAAACGTCCGGAAATTAATGTCTAAATATCCCTTGATGGAACGGCAATTTAGGAGGTCCCGGCACGTGCGGATCAGATGAAATCTATTTTGATATGTTACTCTATAGCGGAAAAGGTTAGAACTCAGGTAGTTGGCTTGTTCGCTGAGCTGAACAATTTGAGTGCAAACGTTTCATCACCAATCGAGGTGACGTCATCAGGGCGTTATTGAGGAACATTCGAAAAAGATGAACTTATTCGGAGATCGTGGTGGTGCGTGACGTTGGGTTGGTGTTTGGGCCCACCAACCCACCGCCACGAACCACCGCATCCTCAACTACATTACTCTTTTCCACTCGCCAATACCGCCAAGGAAAATGCTAGTTGATACAAGACGGGCTTTTGAGTGTAACCATTAGTGCAAGTAAAAGCATAAATCACCCCTATTTAGACTTTGGTTGGCTTCCAAACCTGTTCGGAGTTTTTGGCGAACGTGGTCGAGTGCGGCACATCAAATCTACGACAACCTGCGAAGTTTGTTCTGCTGAATTATGAGTGCATATAAGGGGCCACATCATACTCTTCCTCTAGAGTTTGGGATGACATTCCTATGAGGAATTACTAAGTCAGTTTCGTTAAAGACACGCAAAAAACTGCGATTTTTCAAGGTGACACGTACCAAACTCAGGCGTAGATGTACTGTATGGTGAAAAACCTTAGTCTTTCTTTCTCTTACATGAGAATATGACCTTCACTGTCCCACTAGTGCGCCTCTTCTCACCATTGTTTAACAAACATCATGGCTACGGTTTGCTTTAGGGCATTCGACGGTGAGAAGAAACTTGCAGACTCGTGAATAAGTAGTAAACTATCATCTCACAAATTACCGAGATGGTGGAGCTTAGACTAAAAGAATCACATTAATCATAGCCGACACCCGTCAGAAATGAACGACTCTGTCCTTCTGGTGTTTATAAGTGTACTCAGTGGGAAAATTGAAACAGGAAACATTTGTTCATCACAAATTCAATCGCTCATATTTCTGCCAAGTCCTAAATTTAGTAGTACACGGTAACGTTATGTACCCAAAGCACAACTTCCCGCTTGAATATTTAACAAAATAATCCGATGTATTACTTTATACTTTCTTCTTTTCCTGAACAATTACTTGAGCACCATCTTAGGTTGACTTTCACAAATGTATCTGCATAAGACCGATTTGTTCCGATTTGCATCAACGTACTCTTCGCCCTTCTTTGTTCCATTATCTTGCCAAGTAAAGCTGGAGCAACTTACCTGACCAATCGCTCATACCTCTATTTATTTACAACTTATTGGAATATGTGTTTCCTGTATTTTGGGGAAGACCTTGCCTTTTCTAACATGAAAAAAAGTACGTCCCACCACAAAGTCGCAGCATAGTTCTTCATCTGTTTGATTAGCGTTTAGTTTCCAAGCACTTCCACTGTGTTTGACAACTGTGGGTTAACGGAATCCCGGTTTGTTAAATACTTGCATAATCAAATGGTACAGAATTCCGCGTGGTATTTACACTTGTCACTACCAAACTATACAAGATGTCTGCTTCTTTCCACCATCTAAGAAGGGAATTGTGCACACCAAGAGGTTTTGGTTGGAAAGTTGTTGGACTCAAAATGGTGGGTGAGGAAGTGGATGCTATTGATGAGTGGAACCCCATAGCTCACCTGAGTATCAGCTGTTCTGGGATCAACTGGTCCGTCCAGACGATGCATCGTGAAAACGTGTCCATCCTTCAACAGACTAACGCGCAGTAGGGATTCACCTGGAAATAAAAGCAGTGTCACGGGATGCGCTAAAAACTATCACCGAAAAGACCTAGCTTGTATATTACCTCGGTTGGTAGAGATAATATGTAAGCGGTTGGCTTGGCTTTAACTTTTCCGAAAATCTTTCATTCGCTGAAGCTAAGTGGCAAACTTTTGCTTATTATTTGACTAGTATTTTGTTTAATTATTCCTGTACTTATTCCTAATAAAGCACAATAACCATGTTCTAAAATACACTTTACGCGTATATTTTGAAGTACTCCGTGGGCTACTAATTTATCAAGGGAAAATAGTACATAAGTTCAATGTGTATCTGCCAACTTAAGAGGGTTTCTAAAGCCCCCTAATCTTCTAATGCCTTTCTCCAATGAAAACACTTTCTTCATGCATGTATTATTGCATTATCCAGTAAAATATTCTTTTTGGGTAGGTCGCCGTACACCACGGACATTTAGCGTGAGCACGGCTCCGTTGGATAGCTAATTGTTAGCCTTGCGATATAGCACGGCTGTAATTACTCCTTGGATTGCGGCAGAATCTCAGAGTGGTAAATTTTTTTAATTAATATAACCGACGGGTTTCTTATGAAATATACTCTTCAGGAGGAAAACCCTGGTTCGAAATGTACCCGGACGGAAGTCGACGAATACATATAGTGTATTTTATTGACAAACGGTCTCGCTGGCTAAGGAATACCAATTCGATGACTTTAATGCGAACACATCACGGGTGCCCCAAATCAGCACTCGGTCTCTGTCCAAACTTTCTGCACGCAGTTTGTTTCTGGAAGAAAAAATTTGAAACAAAGAAAAAATGTCGTCTGAACAAAGCTTAGTAACATTGTTTGAGTGCGTTGTCGTGCACGGTGACTCCGAAGTTAGCGACTTATTTCATTTAGCAACTAAAACTGAATCAAGATGGAACCCGTGTAGGACCTACCTCTATAATTTTGTATCACCCTCGTGCTGATATGTCCTTGGCTGTATTTACAAATTAGCAGTCCTTTTTAAACTAAAACCAGTTTTTTTAATATCCAGAGAGGAATGTAAGGCCACAGTTCACGTTACCTGAATTCCTGTTGATGCATTATTTTTCCCTTTGGCGTGCATTGTTCACCCTTGCTGAGCACACCACTTAAGAAACTGATGCTAGCATTGTTGGTAGTGTGATGATGGCATTAGATAGCAGGCGCAAGGCGTCTACGGCTGATTTTTAGTGTTATGGTAACATCGGTATGTGCCAATGACGTCTATATTTTTCGGCAAATCACATCAGTTGAAACATTAAGAACAAGTTTTAAAAAACGTCTAGGAAATGACGAGCAATAATGCATACAGCCATGGATGCACTATCACTATCACATTCACACAAATTCCTTTCAAATTTTCCATCAAGCACCTATGGATCCAATTAATTTACACCAAAGCTGAGGATGACCAGCGGGGTGCAAGCGTCCATGGCTTTAATCGAATGGCAAGCGGTCAAAAACGGGCCAATCTTTGCAAAAAGCCATCTCACTGGATCACCGTTTGGTTCATTAGTCGAACAAGTCGCACCGCTCAAGCGTGAGCTGCTCAGCTGTCCAGGATCGAAGTAACGCGCGTTTGGAAAACAGAGTCAGCAGGCAGTGTCAGGTTTGGTCCCCCGGACAGTAAATCACGCTACAAGCGCAGTAAACGAAGTATCGCGCGTTTGGAAAACAGTCAGCAGGCAGTGTCAGGACAGTAAATCACGCTACAAGCGCAGTAAATAGCAAGAAAGATGACCAAAACGTACCGTTTGGCAACTGAGATTGTTGCGTCTTCACCGTCGCCCCATCAGTTGGAAATAGGTGAGTGGTCTCCCCACTCCAGTGAGGTACTACATTCAGTACATCATATCCTAAAAACTGAATGAAAACAATAATTGATCCGTACACATTTTCAAGACAGGGCCACTATTAGGTGTATCTACAGGCTACGCTCACTTAGTTACTTCACTAATGTCAGTTATACATTGGACGATAGACTCAGTTTGGTGCAAGGCGGCGTTATTTGTGTTACTAAATCAACGTCCCGGATTATTTACTTATGGTCTCACAAAACATGATATTATTGCTTCCTGCCTACAAGTGTTCATCATATAGAAACCCTGATTCTGAGAAACATTTACGTCAAAGGACAAAAAATGTGGCTCTCTCATATGAATATCAAACTTTCTGTATTAGCTGTGTTCGCAGACCCTATGCAACCGCAACTGAATTGTCACCATAAAGAACTCACTGCATGTTTTTGGGGAACGGCCTCGGTAGCTGTATCTTCTACAGGTTTTCCGCCTTCATTTGCAATAGATTCCAATTGATTTGTAGGATTTTGATTGTCTCTTTTCTCTAGTGTATCTTTCAACTCACTATCGTTGGATCCTACAGGTGGTTGGGTTTTTGTTTCGGATTGCAGCAAACGCCTGGCACCCCGACCTTCCGCACGTCTATATCCGCCTTCTTTTTGCTCTTCCTAAATCACAAAAAATGAAGTATGAAAAAATGAACGCGCTTTTATTACAACAGTTTTTAATGGTATGTTTACTCCAATATATTTTAATCTGTTATCTTTGTTTATTTTAGTGTTTGCGCACAAAGTTTAGCAGTTCCACAGATCAGAATGAAGACACTTTTAAGAAATAGTTTTGGGTGCTGTATAGGATTTTCTTGAGTCCAAACTATTTCGCGAAAGGTACAGGTGATACAGATGCCCCACAAAACCGAATATCTGGCTTCAGGAAGAGTTTCAGCTCCCGCAAACTAAGGCTTCTGGGTCTGTGACAACAGGATACGTCACACAACAACAGCAGATGACGTTTTCTATTCACTAGCTAGAATCAAGCCAAAATTTAAGTGCACTATATTCGATCTACTTTAAACTCGCCACAGTGCGCTCAGTGGTTCATTTGGAAACAAGTGCAATAGAAGACTCAACTCACCATTGGCTGTATTAAACCAGAAGTCCAGATGAAAGCAGATATTCAGAATCTTTCATTCCTGGAGGCAATTCAAAGATTGCTGAATCTAATGGAGTTTGAGTTGCCCATAGAACTTGTCTTTTCGCGATCAGCACCCTACGGTATGTTGATATCGTCAGTGCTTTCACCAAAACAGCTTGCTGCCCTTTGAGTTGGTTATCTGGTTGAATTAACTGGTGACAAATCTCACTTTCTCGGGCGAATAAACAATAACGCTTCATTTAATTTTCTGTTACTTATTATGCCCTTTTATCGAAACTTGTGCAGGGTTGTTATTGTTTGTTCTCCATGTAGCTGTAATGTTCACTTCTGATGTGCGTGTAATTTGTGCCACTAAGCTAATAAACTCTATGGTTCCTTGGTTAAGTGTTTTACGATGAGTTCCAACGGCTTCTCAGTCAGTGCGGATGGATGAAACGTCGACCGTTTTAGGGAATTGTTACCTGGTAGTGTGAGATTAAAAAGCCAACACACACTCAAACAGCTAAGACTTGTCCAATCGGTCGAGAGAACGAAAATTCCTTGCGGACATTCTAGCTTATGGTGACCACTTACTTCATGTGCTTGTCGAGGGACAAGTTGATGGAATGATCTACTGAAATGATCCAGGCCTAATGATCGCTAGACTCTGAAGAAAAATGAACTACGATAAATTAAATGCACTCACCTGCTCTTTCTTGGTCGCTTTCAAAGAATCGGTGGTGACATAGGCAGAATACTCCTTTTCTGAAACTGCGGCGGGTTTCCACGATCGGACTGGTGTTATTTCGGACTTGCTTAAGTCACCCTGGTTAACCTGGTAAGAATAATATCAATCGAGAAAAGATTTGTTTGTTTATCTTCGCTTTAGCAGGAGGGCTGGCTAATACTCGGAACAATACATTGTTCAATTTTTTCTGCTTTCAGTCAACACCTAAACTAAATGATGACCTAATTTATGAATTGCAACACTTCACTCCCTTGTTTTTGAGGTTCTGTTCAGATACCGACAGCCTTACTGACTATCCACACTTTATGATAAGTACTGAGGGGAGTTGACAGTGGAACCGAAATTTAGATAAGCAGGATCCTGTCCACACTATGCACGAACAATGGATAAATACTTAGCTGTCCAGGAAAGACTGTAGCCAGTCTCAAGAAAAAAACTAACTCAAAAGAAGCCATTTAAAAGGCATCCAATGAGTGTATGCACTATACAAATTTGTTCTTGAATCTTATAAACCAGCGACCAAAAAAATGATGGTCGGATCCCTTGCTTGTAAGTTATACACTATAAGAGGAAAGTTAGCGCAAACGGGCTTGTCTACGATACATAGAGACAGAAGTGGAACACCCTATTTGTGAATTACACTTCCCAGCTAGTACACCTAGGCTCGACGAAGTAAAACTAATTCTTATAAACAGTCAGTCATCTACGCTATTGTTAGCAATTTTTATGCTTTAACTTACTAAAAATTATATTTTCTGGCGCGCTAAACTTGCTAGGAAAATATATTTTGAAAGTTGTTTGACTGCACCACCCTTTTGGTTTTTTGCTGCCACGTCGCACAAAGACTCACAACGGCTGAGCAGTGCTAAGTTACCCAATCTTAGATATGAGCGATCGAGACAGTGAATTTCGAGTTGAAACTACAGACCATCCGATCAGTAAGCTCGCCCTTCAACCACTCAGCTGTTGCGAGTTCAAAACTAGTAAAATACACGTGACGAATTACCAAAGTTTAAACCCGGGTTCGAACGACCTCTTTGCCTTTCATGATATTAACACTTTTGAGCAAATTCACAGACATGGTAGATTGGGTGATATTTGCAATATACTGGTCTAAACACTTTGTACCATTGCAGCAGTATTTTACGTAAATCTTCGACGAAATAGCTGAATAGACCTAGAGCATTTCTTGCTCATATTGTTAAGTATTTGACTGCTCTACAAAATGTCACACTATCCAAAGTATATGAAACACTATGACTCACCCTGTGACCCTGATTCTTCCTTGTTGATCCAAGAGTTTTCACTCATACGCTCGTGAAAACTGGTTAGAGAACGATGCCCTGAGCTATCTGATTAGTATACATACTGGACAGTGAACAAGGCCTGGTATTATTCAGGTGTACGATAGTATATTTTTTGCCCTTTACAAACCACCTTCAGTATTGACGATATCTCAAGTGGCACCACTTCTGATTGGTCAGCTTGAGCCCATTTTAACCATTTGACATTTACAAGAGAATAACCATTGTTCGGTGGAATAGTCCGTTTAGTAATAAGTCTAGTCCCTCATTGCACTGAAACTATAAATACAGCGGTTGACTGTACCCAAAACTAAGTACGTTTCCTGAACCCATTTAAAATGATAGTTTTGATATTTCGGGCAAAATGCTGCCTCAAACCTGCAAAACCTAACAGTTTCTGATTTATTTGTTCCACACTAACTTGCTGATCGTATTGTTCTGCTTCCTGTTGCTTGGTCCAAGAATTAATATACTGTTCCAAATGTTGTAAATATGCACGAAATCCAATGATGGATGCGTGGAACCATTTTTTCCAGGACTGATTGCTCGAACGAAGCCCTCTTTCAAACGGGTGATGCGCAACGAGAAGGTACTCTCCATTTTGACCTCGATTGAATACATCGACCCGAGGCAATTCATAACGACAGGCCTGCAAGCGCTATATCCAAAGAAAGAACGTTAAACCGGTTAAGCTTGGGCAGGTAAATGACAAATCCGCAAAGCAGACGGTTAACCGTGAATGGGCTCATCATGAATGATGTGAAAAAGAAACAGATATTCGACACCCTTATGAGAAACGACTGGGTATGCAGTAATCAAGTTTCAACCACAGAATAGCAGGCTATTTCAAACGCATTTGGTATTCTGAAGGCTTGGCTGTATCTTTTTGTCTCGTCAGACCTGAAAAATGAATCTATTGGGTTTGATTCCCTCGTTTAAATTTATTACCGTATATTTTTTTGGGATATTAGATGTTTTACTACCTCCCCCCCCCGAAAGCAAAATTTTCTATTAGTACGGACCAGGGGGCTCAAACTTTTCTCAGTTTTTACTCCACCAACTTTCATTGGCATACATTGACTCCACATTCTAATTTGCAAAAAATGCATAATGATAACAAGTCCATTGTTTTGTCTGAAAAACGGCGTTACTTATCCACTTCATGCTTTCAGATGACGACAATCACTATTCAGTACAAATGCTGTATGCACGAAATCCAATGTTGGATGCGTGGAACCATTTTTTCCAGGACTGATTGCTCGAACGAAGCCCTCTTTCAAACGGGTGATGCGCAACGAGAAGGTACTCTCCATTTTGACCTCGATTGAATACATCGACCCGAGGCAATTCATAACGACAGGCCTGCAAGCGCTATATCCAAAGAAAGAACGTTAAACCGGTTAAGCTTGGGCAGGTAAATGACAAATCCGCAAAGCAGACGGTTAACCGTGAATGGGCTCATCATGAATGATGTGAAAAAGAAACAGATATTCGACACCCTTATGAGAAACGACTGGGTATGCAGTAATCAAGTTTCAACCACAGAATAGCAGGCTATTTCAAACGCATTTGGTATTCTGAAGGCTTGGCTGTATCTTTTTGTCTCGTCAGACCTGAAAAATGAATCTATTGGGTTTGATTCCCTCGTTTAAATTTATTACCGTATATTTTTTTGGGATATTAGATGTTTTACTACCTCCCCCCCCCCCCAGCAAAATTTTCTATTAGTACGGACCAGGGGGCTCGGCTCAAACTCAGTTTTTACTCCACCAACTTTCATTGGCATACATTGACTCCACATTCTAATTTGCAAAAAATGCATAATGATAACAAGTCCATTGTTTTGTCTGAAAAACGGCGTTACTTATCCACTTCATGCTTTCAGATGACGACAATCACTATTCAGTAATCTTTTCACTAAGCAGTATTTTCTCGGCCCAGGTGGTGACTCGTTTAAAAATCCTGTAGTTCGCTGAACATGTGTTTTAAGATCTTTCTTGCCAGAGAATTACTCTGTTCAGGAATCGATAAGGTGAACACTTCTTGCAGATGCATGCTTTGCCTCAACCGCGTTAACATCACTCTTGCTTAAAATACTATGGCGAAGTGCCGTACAATTAACGTTATCAACAGTGATTAGATAAGATGCAAATCCACCACTGACGCATCTGTGGTACCGTTTACTTGCCGGAGCAACACACAAATCAAGACCGCACATTACACCGGTTGCCGATGCTCTAAGGACACAATTCCCACCGAAAAATGGACGTCATCACCCATCCTACTCCCCGTCTGTCTCATCGAACTTCATACACTCTCACAGAAAGCAAGTTCGCTGTCGTTGAAGAGCACGGATGCAGTTGACGCTCCTTCCAGTGGCATAGTTTATGTTTAATTTGAATAATTTTGCTATGTTTTGGGTGTTATGTGTTATTATTTCGACGCTCAATGTTTACTAACATTTACTTCCCATCCACGTTTCGCGACCTCTTGCATCCCATAAAAAAGACCCTGTTATCTAAAGTTTTATCAAAATGTTGAAATTTGCGACAAAATTCTGATCTCTGTAGCCTCGCTGATGAGGAAGACAGGTTATCTGGAAGTTTCAAAGAGTTATATGTGAAGTGAAAGTGGATTTAACTGAAAATGATGAGCAGGGGCAAGTACTTATCATTTCGATAGGAAAAAGAATAGGGAAGTAACCGAAAATCGGGAAATTTACTGCGCATACAAAAAGCGAAGGCTATAGAGCCAGAAACTTTTCTCAGCCTATTTGCGCCCCAGTAAAAACGCTCGAATTTTTACAAATAAAAGACCAAACGTTGTCGAATTTCGGTGCACAAAATTTAGTATGGCAGAAAGACTAATGTGAAGTACCCAACAAATCGTTCCATTGTACCACCGAATAAATCGATTATGCGGTGGAACATACTGACTGTAATTTGTTAGTGAAAATTAGATGTTTCATGTTTGTGAGTCTGAACCTGGGAACCGTTATATCAGATGCTAAACTTCGAAGATTTTAACACTCCATGAAGGCAGAATCAGTAATTTTTGTGAAGTAGAGGGTACTCAAGTGGATTTTTGTTTGTGTCTTTTTCCGCTGAGTCAAGTTTTAATGAGATATGTTGATGAGGAAACAAGTTCTTTTAGGAATTCCTTGGCCCTGGGCGCAACAGTTCTGTTTTTAAACTGCTACCCCAGATCCTGTTTAATTTGTTTAATACTTCGATTTATTCATTCCCTTTGGTGTCCGAAAGGTACTGAATATCCTGTAGATGCTCCCCGTCTAACAAGTTACTTCATGTGGATATTAGTGATGCAGCACTAGTGAGACAAGGCAGCCGGACATTCACAGCACTGGACAAGCACTGACACAGAGTGGACAGAACATGTTCTTCTCCCGGCTTCAACTGCCTGTATCGTACAATAAGCTTCAACTGTAATGCGAATGGAGTCTTAACAGAAGTAAAAAAAATATATACTCTTGAACCCATACGTTACTAACTTACGATTGTACCATGTATCTTGACTTACAATCTTAAGGCTATTTTTTTAGGAACTCAGCTGTCATCCCCGACTGTCGCGCGTAACAAGGACAAAGAAAGCCATAGTACTCCAATAGCCTCCAGCAGATTCAAAGTTCACAAAAAGTGCCACAAAACACCATTATAATTCCCACCAAATTTCCATCAAGGTTCTTTCCTAGGTGAATACCAAAGTTTCCTGTGAAAATATTCGTAAACTTACTTGTAACATCACGGTACAGTCCATTGGTTCTTCAATGCAGTAGTCTGATAGGTTTTGAAGATGGTTATTTAGCAGCACCCACATCTTTTCCCGATCTAAATGTATGTTTTGCGTATCCGGTACATCTCCCGTCTGAACAGAGTATTTCAGTTGGATTTTAACGAGAATTTCCTTGAGCTGCTGTGTCTGATCTTCCCTGGTGAGCTTTCTTTCCGATTCCTTAGAATTTGTTGAACACCACTCCAGATTTGCAGCTGAGTCAAGACTAGTGACCTGGTCCGATGGAACAGAGCTTCTGGCCTGTGGATGCTGATCTCTTTGATCTGAAGTATGAGTAGCATTGAGAGTGAAATAATGCATCACTATTGAGAATAATTTGGACTGGTTTGTGAAGCACAGGAAAATGTTGATGTTGAGGGAATCCCATCATAAGGAATGAAGAACCCTAAAAATTGTAACGTGTCTGGAAGTTTCCGCAGATCGAGTGACAGACTGTCAGTGACTCAAAAGTAATGCCTGGAAAGTGACGCAGTTTGTTGTTTTTAGACAACTGACACAACTGGCACCGTGACTTACAGAAATGTCTGATAAAAGTGACTTTTAATTGTTCAGTGCATGCTCATGTGTTCCACAGAACCCAACCACTCAGAAAAGTTGATTGTTGTATGGAATGCCTGACAATTTGACTAAATGAAACGGTTAGTTCCGTCAACAAAAATGAATATAGTTTGATGTGAAGTAGAGATGGGTCTAAATTTTTTTCTGTGGAATCTAACAGAAGTCGATAGAATTTATATTATCCCCCGTCTGAATCATCAAAATTGCCACTACGGAAATCCATGAATAACCTCTTTAGGCGATGAAGTTGCTCTGACAGGCGATTGTCACTTGAGGAGTTTGAAAGATAATCCCCCTTAAAATGTGGCTTACCTGAGCTGTAACCAAGAGGCGAAAACTTCCAGTTGTGTACTTGTCTTCAATTGCTTGTCTCCAATTAAATAAAGCGCGCACAGTTTCGGAACCGACTTTTTTCACTGAAGATGTACTTCACTCAGAGTTGTTCCAGCAATAGTTTTCATATTCTTGGACTAGCTTCCCCAGTCTTAGTTCCCGCTGAAACCATTTTTATGCACTTAAATTTTTCCTGAGAACAACAACCCTCAAATAGCATCAACCAGAGGCCCGGTACATCTCTATAAAAGACATGATCAACCACGAAGTGCTCCAGATGAGGACTACAGATGATTAGAGATACCGTAGAATGTCTCTCTTCTCTATCGGGGTTTATCATGTGCACCGTATTAAAGCTGGTCACATAACATGTTGACTTATAATACTGATTTGCCATTCAAGCTTGATAATGCCTCCCTCAGAATCAACAAAATACCAGCCAACAACCAAACACTATCTTGAAGAGTGCACAAATATGCTGGGTGTGCTGGCACTGGCGTCTGCTGGTAATCAGGATCTTAGTATATCGGATGATTCTGACAGATATGGTACCTTTCTCTGAACGAATGCCCCGTTCACATGCACTGCACTATGTCATTCGTTAACCTAAAAATATATATAAAGTGAAATATTGTTGAAGCTTCCGTTTAGAAAAAGAACAAAGACTAATTGACTAACATGTTTTCAGCAAGGGCTTTTAATGTCATATAGAGAGGCTAATAAAGCAATATTCAAAATAATTTAATGAGCATGGTGTACATGAACAGGAATCGAGTGAGATACGGCATTGGCTACCTTTAAAAAAACACTTATTTAAGACACCAAAAAGATGACTTGAGTTTGTCAGTGCAGACAGTGCTGTGATTGTGTGTTCAGCAGAGTGTATGTGTATGGGAAGTAAGCTGAACCAGTTCGGACAAGGTTTTCCTGGCTGCAACACTCCAAACCTGGTTCGCAAGCAATCCGCTGTGTTCCTTCAATTTTAAAGATACAGTCGCCGTCCACGACCATATTTATGTCAGTATACTCATTCAGTTGCTGCTGTACAGCGAAATACATTTGACATACGACTGGGCCACTCTGTCAAAAAATGAAGGAACACAACCTACTCTGGCTAGCTTCTGGAACTAGGAGGATAATCACCAGCTTGGTCGTACAATACCTAGCGGAAACAGCACGCAGGGTCATAACTTACCAAAGCTTTCGTATTGTTTACAAGACGGTTGCTAATCAAGCCACATCGTTACATCACCGCACAATCACACTGATGAAGCTATCACCATACGATATCACGACTTGATCGCTTGTCGCCGTGTTCTCCGCTTGTTCAACTTCACGTGGTCCCACTCAGCTCCCCACACACATACACTCTGTTGAACACACAACCACAGCACTGCCTGCACTGTCAAACTCGAATCGTCCTATTGGTGGCCCGAACAAATTGTTCCCTGACAGTTTGCCGATGCCGTCTCTTACTCGAATTCCTGTTCATGTGCACAGTGCTTAATAAATTTTGCCCCGTTGGTTTTTGCGACTGTATGACTTGAAAAGATCATGTTAAAAATTGAAATATGTTGAAGTTTTTCGGTAGCAAATATATTCGCAATCAATCAAAAACGCACCCTTGATTGTGCCGTTAGTAAAATCGGTTTGGACAGACTCCTTTTCAACCCCGATGTGCGCTGCATCCAGGTCACCGAACTTTTGGGGGAACTGCTCATTGCTACGCGTGGATGCTTCTTCGTTGTGCAGAACAAATCGAACAAACTCTTCGTAGGGTAGATAAGGGTTTCCAAAAGGGCATTCCTCGAATGTGGAGTGAACTGGTATTTCCGACGAATTAGAATCGTGTAAAGAGACGTTACCCTCCAAGACATGTGCCAGGTTCTCGAACAGGGCCTCTAGAAGCTCATGTTCGAACTCTATGGAAAAGCGGAACAGATAATTATAAAAAAGTAATTCGCACTTGTTATACATCGGAGAAGCGTTTGTGGCGTGTTAATTAAAATAACAATACTTGTAGTAGCTAGAGAGAATCAGACAGATAGGTATAAACGCATAGATCACATACTCAGCTTCAAAAAACCCTACCATAAACTCGAACATAAAACGAAATAGTGGGACACGAAGGTGATGCAGTATATCATCACCCATCCATGACTGAAAAAGTCCCATAAAATCCGTATTTTGTAGGGCGTTGTGCCGGAGCTTGTGGAGTACGATTCTGATCGAAACCCTGCTCAATACAGTTGCACAATTTGAAGTACTGAGTGTCTGTTCATCACACAAAACATTCGTCCCTTCGCCAAACTACATCATCAGTGAAGCTAGCTGGAAGGTGCTCAAAACGCCTTTGTTCAATAAGCCTGTGACAAAAACCTTGAGGATTAAGAATATGCATATGGAATCGTTTGGCCTTCAGAAAGGGGAAAGAGCAAGTGTTTGTGGATGAAATGACTAAAGCTGTCCTGTCCTCTGGCATGCGTTTTACATAGATAAGGTGTAAGGCCATGTTCGTGGATGTTCAGTCACTGAGCACGCCACTTACTATCCACGGAGAGGCACTCGAAGTTGTGGAGCGTTTTACTTATCTTGGAAGTTGTACTAGATCTGAGTGCAGTGAGGTTATTGCACGAATCTGCAATGCTCAGTTTACTGCTAATTTCAGACGCCTATTGAATCAAAGAACGTGTGTACCAGGCCACAGCGTGGACTGTTTTGTTTTATGGCTGTGAGGCTTGGCGTGTTTGAGCACCGGTACTGAGAAGTCTTTGACAACCACTTTCTTAGGGCCACAACTCGTGTGAATTTGTGCCTACGAATCGTCAGCGACACAATTAGGCAGCTAGTTTTCGGTATTACAACGGGGACGTCTAATTAAAGAATGATCCGCCATGTTAAAAACTGCGTAAATGTAGTCCCATAATTTAAATTAGCGCCTACAGTGCTGAAACAGATAGACACTAGGCCGTGGGAATACCTGTAAAAGCGAGCTATTTGGATGACGTTCGTCGCCTTCCACGAATTCAAGGACATGCATTGGAGTACGGAATTCAAAAGTGCAAATATTGGTCACCGCCACGGATTTTCTCGTAAACTGACGCAAGGAATGACGCAGCTTCATAAAAACAAGTGTGGGCGGATTGGTTCAATAAGCAGTTTGTGTCATGAGTCATCGAATAGCTTGCGTGTGTCGTGGTTCAGGAAGACTGAACAACACAAGCCCCATGTCCTTGCGCCTACGGCTGTAGGAGGAAGCTTCAAAGAGCTTTTGGGCAGGGTTCAAAAGAGCGGAAGCTTGAACAGAGTGCGAAGACATAAGTAAATAAATATTTTTAGGAAGAACAGATTGGCAGGAAACGAAGTCTTCCACCACTAAACAACAGCAGCTTTAAAGTACTGACAACTTTCGGTAAAGCCTTCTTCACGAGAAACGGCACGAGTTTCCTCCAAGACATGGAGCCTTCAGAACTCTCCAAAAACGCTTACCCTAAAACAGTTTCGAAAATCACAATAAAGTCGTCAACAACTCATTACGAAGACGCCGCACCTTCTTCGTTTGTTATGTCCACATCTTGTTTGGCACCAGTCGAATAACTGTTGCCAAAAAAGCATTCAGCAAACCATGGATGCTATAGGCACTATTTTACAAACTCTTTCTAATCTTACGGGATGAAACTATCTAATCTTACTTACGATATTAGTAAAATGATTCTTCAGTGCTTCTCTCCTTTCATTTTTCGTTATCCAGTCAAATTATGTGAAATGGAATGCTACAATTGCAAGCAGATTTACCAAACATCTTCGCCGCCTCAGTGTACCACAAGTTTAGCCAAGTTTCTTTAGCTTTTCAGCAACGAAATTATCGGAAACCTTACCGCCTGAGACATTTCAAAATAGTGCAATTAGTGGCAGACACTGCTGGTGTCAGGAAATGTCAGTTGTATTCAATTTTTGAATTGTTGACACCTCAGGTGCGTTCCCAGATAGCTCATCCGTTGGCAGTTGGCACTTCACAGTGACGATGTCTCCTCGACTTGGAACGAAACTTTTGGTGGTTGAGTGCCAAGTTCTGTAAAATAGCAACAACCAGCTGACCAAATTCCACCGACAGTTGCAATTTATACTGCTTAATAATTGGCTTTGTCACCGGAAACTAAAATAAGTAATATGCTAGTTTGAAAATTGTTGGACCTTCCATTCCATCCTCGCAGACCCCAGGTGTTCCAACTGTAGGGCCCAGGATCTACTTGGCTGGGATGACCAACCCTTGGGTCAGTGAACACCAGTCAGTTTCTGTCTTTTGAATCAATCATTTCCTGACAGCTGTCTAACCGAACAAGTCGAATAAAGATGCGCTGAACCCGACAGAGGTTGTTCACCCAATCGCATCACACCGATTTAACGAAGACCTAGCTTCTTGATTTTGAAGAGGCCGATCAACGTTTCTGAAGACTCTGACTCAATGTTGGGACTTCTAACGAAGCAACGCGATGGAACTTATGGTCAGTGTAGTCCACATTACTGGTTTGTGCAAAACCGCAGCAGAATGCTCGGATCAAATTCAAACCTCACGTTGATTGGCATAAACGGTTCTTCTGTATGGTAATTGAGGTTCTTAATATGTGTTTAACAGTTTGCGTGAGAATCATATGATCATATCTTTCATAGAATTCCTCATCATAAATTTATTAACTTATAAATTATACATTTTTGCCTTCTCGTGAGTTTTGACTGATAACCTCGGTAGCTGGATGAAACTAAGATAGTTGATTAAGTGAAGGCGATTAAATTTAAGGTAGCATCATTCAAAAGTCACTTTAAGACAAAAATGTGGTCTTTCAGGTTCAATTCACTTGATTCAGATCCGGTTTGATCGTTTTTCATGCATGACAACCAATCCTCAAGCAAGGAGCAGTTTTGCTTGTCCTGCGAGTCCGGTGGAGAAAGCCGTGGCTTTTTGTCCTACCCACTTTCTAGAGAACGCCATGAACTGAAGGAATATTGTCCTAATACAAAACACAGTTTTGGAATATTCCACTTTTGAGAAAACTCGGCTCCTTCAAAAACTGAATGACATCAAAATCGCGTCATATTGCTTTTTCATTATTTGGATGTTGGACTGCTTGACTGATTCTGAGACCCTTCTTTAGCACTTCTCTGCACCAAATTTCTTGTGGAGGTATATCTAAACGTGTTCTCTACAAACTACTCAAGGCCCAACTATTGAAGTTGTGAAGATGTATGGCCTAATGGCAAGACGGTGGAACAGTGAAACTGTTGTAAAATAAATTGCTTCACAGCAGTAGTTTACGGTAGTTTTTTCAATTTCATCTAAGCTAGCTAAGTAACTTCTAGGGGAACTAGCGTAATATTATGAGAAAAATTCGAATAAAACAGTAAAATAGCTTCTTGGTTTTACTGTGATCTAAACAAACCAGAGGGTAATTGAACAGTGGTGGCTTACTTGGAGTTAAAATGGCATAGAATCAGTTCACAGAATCCAGCATAGATCACTAGTAGTTACCTTCACGAGTCCATCCAGACTTCCGCGCAAAGTGCACCAGCTGCTGGCAACGTAACCTTCGTAAAGACTCTGAATTCGATATGTGTGTGGATGATTCGTCCTTGAACTCGAATTTCCCAGGGTTATCTAAGCTTGAGAGCACAGTGTTTCGAACCACATCTGGATAACAGGTACTTATTACGTCCAGCAGTGCCCGTTTCAGTTTGGTCGGGCTCTGAAGTTTGTCGGAACCAAAATAACTGAGGTACGTCACGTTATCATGTGGGTGTATAACCATTGGTGGATTGAGTTTGGGAAGTTGAACTGCATTGTGTGGCAAGCAAAGGCAGGAAAATCCACTCTGCAGCCCCCAAAAAATGAGGAAATATGGAAAAAATAATAGTGCGTAAATAATGAACATCAGTGAGTGTGAAAAAAACATCCATGGTTTTAAAATGGATTAGGAGAATGAAAGAATTGCAGTCTAAAGGTTTGCACAACAAGGCAAAAATTTACAAAAACAGGCTTTCTTCCTTTTCGGTCATATCTTCCCTTTCGGTTGGATGGTAAACGAGAGCCCATTACTTTCTTTAAAGGATCAGAAAGACAGTTCGAGTGATTCTTCGACAACAGTTGTGCTTCGAACCAGGACAATGGAATTTTCACACGATTCCGCGAGACAGAATTACTACTCGTTAGTGACAGTACGCCCCTACTGATGAACGTTTTACTATCTAATGTTGGGCACCAAACTAAATGGTGAGTTAGCAGGATCTAATATTTTTTAAACAAGTGTGCGACCACATCTTGAGATGGATCAGATCAGGTGCCAAAACCATCCACTGCGCCTGATGCCAGTGTTGCCTGACAGTAACATTGTAGTTTATCGGTGTTTGCTCATAGATTACACCACTCTGTGGTAAATGTATGACAAATTTATCGCTCTCATTTTTTTCCAACTGAAGGTATGTAAGAGAAGATACGCTGACTTGTCTGTCAATTACCGATACATTCGTAATCAAAGTACAGGACCAGTGCTTCATGCATTTCATTTTGGAAAAGAAAATTTTCTGATTTCTCATTCCGCGTTCATCTAAAGGGGTGTTTCAGTGCACTAAAAGAAACAGCCACAAAACTAGACTCTCAGTGAGCGATTCGATTTACAATACCGTGTGGAGTTACCGACCACGACAAAGACAAACAATCCTCCCAGCGTCCAGTTCACCTGTCGGGGTACAACTTATTACCCACATTCGTTAACACCGAATTATGGGAACTCTTTTTGGCAAGCACTGAGAATGCGCTAAGAGGTAAATAGCAGAACGACTTTAAAATCCCACATTACTGTGCCAGCAGCCAACTGATAGAACTATGACCCGTGTCGAACGTGCTTGGTTTTTGGCGGCACTTGTCAGGCTAAATAGGGTCATTTCAACACAATACCGGATGTCAAATTGTAAAAGTAAAAGAAAAACTTGCAAAGATGGTTCATTACCAAAGCTTGAAAATCAGTAGACAAGGCAGATTAAGGACAGAAATTTGAAAGTCAGTTTTCGCCTGCAGGTGAAATTAAGGGATATTACTTTCATAAACGTCAGTAAGCCTCTTCACAAAACAACTTACGAGGATGTCTGTGAAAAAAGCCACTCTTGTGAAGAGCGTTCCTGCTAGTATCTCCCTCGAATGAGTGAACCTTTATGATAGACTGCAAGTATTGTTTGTGAAATGGACTGTTTAGAGGTCGATCGCTTATCTCACTACATTGTTCACAATATGCAGGATTGTTGTTTGCAAACTTTGTCATCATCGTACCAATTGCTTACTTACCTCATTTACCGTTTTATCCGTGGAACTTTCAGTCAACTCTTTTGCTATCAAATCATCCTGGATCCCAAACGTTCCTTCTGGTTCAGCGTCTTCCAATTTCACTGTGGTTTTTGAAGCGCTTACCTATGTTGCCATTGAGAAAACCATAGAAGCAGGTAGAAAAAATACGAACCGATGTCCTGATTACACAGCAATAAGATGTCTAGTTTTAGCAAGGGTTTCTTGGAAGACCCTGAGAGAAAATTCATTGGAGGCCAAAACTGTAGTTGAGAATACGTGCTAGACGTGAACTGAATCAGTAAATTAAACGAGTTTTTTCGTAACTGTTGTAGTACTAAAAACAACGTAGGATAATTTGAGGTGTCAGAAAAGTAGGTACAGATTTGTTTTTGCAACAATGTATGAATATCCAAAGACTTGGAATGTAGTAGATCTCTGACTGATGGGCTAAGAAATACTAGATCACTGACAGCAGCCATCGTGAACGAAATCTCAGAAATGATCAAGCCGGTTCAATAACAGATTGCCCATCTCATTCAGAACGAGGGTCCAGCTCAAGGGAGTTGAGTGTGAGTTGAATGGACGGGTGAACTTTTAGAAAATCGACAGAACCCTTACTGATCTCAGTACTACTTGGTCCAAAGACATGTGTCGCAGGATAAAGAACAGACAAGACGGTTCATGTGCGAGAAATGTCTGGCCATTGGTGAGCACCTCCGTGCTTATTCACACCTGCTACATTCATAGTCTTGGGAACATGTTATGGCAACAAGTGATTCAGAGGTTGATTTGACAGAAACGCATCGTTGAATATAAACTGCATCTCAAAATACAAATGTTTACGGGCTGCCGGTCATTTGAAAGGCCTGTTTTTTTAGAACTTATCGCTCCGAAGCATAACTGCTGCCTTCTTCATCCGTCCTTTTGCTACCGGTATGAAAAGTGGGAAGATGATACTGTAGGTAGAAAGCAAAATGCTGTTTGTTCTAGCGCAATTCGAGCGCAGGATTTTATTACTGTCCACACGAAGGTGATGAGCTCGAGATAACTCAAAGACCCGGATGATCTATGATTTAGATCCAACTTTGGCATATCTACTGCTCCAGTCTAGGATTAGTATCCCATCAGTATCTCAAATCTCCTGCATTCTTTGGACGGCATGGCGGCTAGATATCGAATTGGCGGTACAGTTGAACTATGGGCGTTTTTCGGAGAAATTTTCCTCCCTGCTTAAGAGTCTGTAAAGTTATTTAAAAATAGAGTCTCCAGCTGACGTTCTTTCGTGTGCAATAGAACCCTTTTCAACCTACGATAGTGCACTCGTTTCTCAAACTAATTTTTAAATTTCACCTAAGAGTGACTTTACTAAATTGGTTGGTGATAAAAAGATTAAAATACATTCGGCTGTTTGGCTAAGTTCCCTAACTTTTCTTCATTTTGTCCGTGTTGGTGATGTCAACACGGAGCACATGGAGTCAACAGCCTTCACTGCTGATGCGTAGATAAGTGAGCAGTAGAAACACAAACAACGGAAATCCATAGGTAGGAGACAATTAACCTAAGGCTGACTGTGCCCGTTATATCCAAAAAAACCCTTGGCTTAAGCTCTCGTTTGAGAGGATTTGTTTGACATTTTTCTTCTTCCGTAAATCTGAGACTGTACCGGTACCGTGTAGCAAAGACTCGTGGGGTTTTGATGCGAGGAATTTTTAGCAGAATGTGACTTCACTCTTTTGTAGCTTAGTGTCACTTCCCATATATGATCATTGAAATTGAGTTTTGTTATCTCACGGGTGGAGAGCCATGGCTAGGTGATAAGGACTTAATTCAAAGAAATAAACCAGCATTTCTTGGAGAGGCTGTATTTTAACGTTTGAGATCACGGATAACTGAATGAGAAAAGACTCAATACCCTTCATGCTTTTAATTTTAGGTTATGTGCATTATCTGTGCTCTCCATGCAACTTAGTTTATGTATTTGGTGGTTCGGACTTGATCTATATTGATTAAGACATTTTGAACTTTGGTCCAATTTCTATCCTATGTGCTCTGCCTGCAAGCACGGTATTCTCGGTTCATTTGTAGATCATGACAAAAATTTTGTGTATTCACGAGGTACTCATTTGTTTGTCTTGGTCTCGTTCTTCCAGTTTCATTCCCCTTCCCTCTTTCTTTCTCTCCTCCTCCTCCTCAAATTTCTTCCTGGAATCCTTTGTAAGTTTAAATTGTTTTCATAGGCTAATGAGCAAAAGCACACTCATGAACCAGTATGTGATTGACGACCAATCAGATCTAGATCACACCGCCAACCGTTTTGTTTGTACTCATTCACGCCATGTTACGTAGATCGATAACAACGAAATTAAAAACAGTTCATGAATCCCCCTCCAATTACGAGACCTCAGCTAATCTTGGGCGCAGGCTTAAACGAAAGAAACTTGAGTGTTTTTCTCAACAACAAACAACTAGAACAAATCGCTCAGCAGCACTGTCACCTTTGCTTATTAATTGCATTCCTTGATGGTTCTCCTGACTCACCTGTTCGACTATTGCATGTAGTATAAGTTCGATACTGGTGTCTTCGACAGCGATCCCCTCCAGAGTCTGACTGTACTTCTGCATGTCAATCAATGTAGTCAGATTACAAGTGCAGTCAGTAGATATCCCAACAGGGCTGCGTGAGCTGGTATCCTCTTCACCTAGGGAAGACTCGATATGAGCAGTTTGCGTGGTTGTCACTGGCAAGGGCTCACGACTGCCAGCAGGCATTAACTCTCGAAAATCCGGAAGTGATATGACTTTCAAGTGCTTTAAGTAATTCTCCCACTGTCGTCGGAAATCAATGAGGTCATAGAGCAGTACCGATAGCCCATCGAACATCTTCATGCCAAAGGCGCTCTGCAAGTAAAATGGAGTTGTCGGTCTGTCTGGGAATAAACACACTCAGGTGATCAGAGGACCGAATATGATCAGAACCTAAATACCACAAAAGTTGGGGTAGACCGCTTTTATTTGAAAATATTAACTAGGTGACAGCTAATCTCTTCTCAGTTAAGTCAACCACATGAGCTCATTGATCTAACCAGGACACATGTTTGCCTGTGAAAAAAGCTGTCCTACGGCGTTTCGGTTGCAGATCGCTGCGAACATCAGAAAGGCCCGCAAACGGAGTACCATGAGCGTCTAGCAGATGACAGCATTTAGACCGTAGTGGATAGTCAGGTCGCTCATGCAAGCTCTGTTATAATCCATCCTACTTTTAAGAGTAAAGTTGTTAAAAGCCCGTAAACGGAGTACCATGAGCGTTTAGCAGATGACAGCATTTAGACCATAGTGGATAGTCAAATCGCTCATGCAAGCTCTGTTACAATCCATCCTACTTTTAAGAGTAAAGTTGTATTGGGTTACAAGGCCATTACGATCACAAAATGTTCCTAGCCATGAAACCAACTAACTTAACTCTGTGCGTCCTTCCGATGGAACACAATACTCTTTGTGCGGCTGAGCCTTTTTGGAACCATGCACTTTATTACTAGTACGCAACTAAAAAAAACGGATTGTCACAGTGATCATAAAATGCTCTTTGGCACACTGTGCCGGTAGTCGACAGTTTAGAGAGGCGCTCAGTAACCAGCTATACACAACTTGTACTTCGTACATATCGTTTATTACAAGAGAGTATGGTGAAAATCCCACAGAACTAATACATCATTTCTAACCATTATTTGTCCCTAGGCCGAAGATTTACACACCGCTTGCTGCTGCGACTAACGACGCTTTTCTCGCAGTGTCCAGTTCTTAGGAGATACAACACTCGGAGCGATCAAGCAGTTCCCAAATTTCATCAATTGTTTATTGAAGAGATGCCTTCAAAACATACCAGAGACAGGAATGACAGAATTGGGGCTTTCGACTAACGTTTAACTGCTAAAGAATATGAAAAAGTAGCCACAATCGCTAGACAAATTTGGGTAAGTTGAATTTTCTTGCGACAGCTTTCATTTTGTTCTGAAAAGATGCGTACAAGTGGACAAAACGATATTTGTTGAGCGCGTGTACCTAGACTTCATTGTTTTCTTGTCTTTTTTGTAAGCTTCGTCATTGCCCACCATTGTCTAACAACACACTGGTCCGCAATATTTCGATTGTCCCGCCTTGCCGAGATGCACAACCATCAGCTTTCCCCAGGAAGTTCGGACGATTTCATTTTAGTGTCATGAAAACTTATGTGAGCTGGGCTCAGCCACAGAGTGACAGTGATTTACCATGTCTGGATTTGACTTATGTGAATACAATTCACTATATCCGGCGTTCGAAACCAGATTAAAATGCGAACTACCCACACGGTGGTTGCCTTCTTTCTACTGCACTGTCATTCCGTAGGAGTAATGCATTTTCTGGACATTTACCAAAGAATGATTTGAATTACTGAACAGATGTATCCCAAAAACACTCTCCTACGTGGCTTTCTGTCATAAAAAGGAATTTCTAGGTTTTTGAGTTAAAAAAAACCGCTATCTTCTGCGAGATATCTGCTAGGCAACGTTTCAACATTCGTTTCCATTTAACTACACCATGGAAAGACATTCGACCTTGTGGCTTCTACCTTGATTCTCGTGTTGATGCTGCTTAGGTTAGGAATATGGTTTCAGGTAACGCACTTGCGTTGCAAGTGCTCGATAGATTAGATCCACACCATCTAACGTGCAGTAACAGCACCCACAAGTTTTCTGAAAACTCTTCAACAGTCTAAGACCGGTTTTGCCCTTCTTGGGGCTCATCAGGAGGGCGCAGTCCCAGAGTTTCTGTCAACGGACAGCTTTTGCATCTCCATGTACTGACCGAGCTTTCACACTTAGGAAAAGAAACCATGACGAACTTGCACTAATGGTTAGTAATGTTTTAAGTTACTCATATTTATTTTGTCGATATTTCGCCTAAGAGCAGTCATCGAAATTTCTAATTATTCACACAAGGCGCACACACATACATGCATACGTACACGCATACATGCCTACAGTGTGTTATAAATGGTGATGGTCATGCCACACAATACACCTGGAAAGAACGGTTTTATTCTCAGATGCGCAAGACATCTTAGATTGCTCGCCACCCATGCTGATCTGCGAACCCTTGATAAATCATTACTTACTCGGCTTTCAAGCTTGACAAGACTGTCTGGCAACAATTCCGGCTTGACTCGGTAGTCAAGCGTTGCGATGTTTCCAAGCATTCCGTTCGGATTATCTCGCATGAGGATATTTACTTGTTGCCAAAATTCATTAAGCTTTTTTTCACGGAGCTCCAGCTTCAATTTTTCGGCTTCCACTTTGTCCGCGTTTCTTTCCTCTTAATGGTAGAAATTAGTAATGTAATTATTTCATAGGCATGATGTCAACAAGTGGATATGTCCATGATGTATAAAGACAAAATTCAAAAAACTTCACAGGTGCATAGAACGTATGTGAAGAAGTTTGACTTATAAAAGACAACATGTTACAGGGACAAGTGTAGTAAACTTTCATCTGAGAAATAAAAGTGAGGTAGTCTTGAAGATCTGTTTGTATACAGGTTCCTGGGACGAGGCCTCTTGTCAGAATCAGAAAAACAACTCCACATGGCAGCTTCTATTGAACCCAACGAGTCAATTTTCAACGGTCGGTGAAAAACTTCCAGCAAGGTATACTACCCTCTTCGCAAGGAAAGAATGAGACGGCTAATTTCTGGTCAATCAAAGGAACCGATTGATTTCTACCTGTACTTGATACGATCAACTGTTTTAATAGTAAAAACTGAAGGCTTGCTTACGCAGTCTTCCTATCTCCAAAGTATCATCGCAAACACTGAAAGCGACATACAAGGTCCTCAAGTAATTTGCAACTCCGAACCCATGAGCCTGGATTCTGATCTTTCGCTCATCAAAGTGGCATAAATCTGTACGATGTAGTGAAATTCCACTGTTCTACACTTATCCGCTCAACTTTCCTCCTTACAGCGTGTCGACTGCGGTCACTTTCTACAAATCAGCTCTAATACTGAACGGCTTTAATGACTACACCTCCGATCGGCTAACTTTCTAAATGCACGCAGACCAGATAAGTCATAAGGCACATCTTACGATCTGCTCTTTTTTAACCCCTGACCGTAGAATCTAGACCTTCTATAACACCTACCCCTCAGTATGTTCATCTGAGTTTTCTATCCTGATAGTCCTGATAGCAGTGTTATCGCCTGTTCTCATTTAACTTCCACTTCTCTCCACGTAGCTTTGTTCAGGGTTTCTTAGCGCTACTGGTCTGCTGAAGGGGAAAATCAGAAACATTCTTTGTCTTGTTTCCTCAAGACTCCAGGGTCTCCAACATACCGATGACATTTTTCAGAAACCTCACGGATGTTTTAAACGAATGAATATTCCAAACTTTTCTCCATTATTCAAACTTTAGCAAATCTTCATTCCTATATTGAAGTATTTGTGCTGCTGGAAGAACCAAACATATAAACGATAACGGGGTTCACTCGTATTCTTCATCTCATTCAGATGATGTCTTGCTCGCATTTTCCATACTACTGTTTTTGGAACGACCAACGGTAGTGTCGTCTGATGAAACGCTAATCTAGTCCTTAGCATACTTGGCGCAAATCGACACTTCTGAAAGTTAACAACGGTATTCATAATTTTCATCCTCCTTCCTGTTTTCTAACTTGCAAACTTCCATAAGAGGTTTCAGATAAAGCCGAAATACCAGTTCAATTGACCGTAGAAACCTTCTATAACACCTACCCCTCAGTATGTTCATCTGAGTTTTCTATCCTGATAGTCCTGATAGCAGTGTTATCGCCTGTTCTCATTTAACTTCCACTTCTCTCCACGTAGCTTTGTTCAGGGTTTCTTAGCGCTACTGGTCTGCTGAAGGGGAAAATCAGAAACATTCTTTGTCTTGTTTCCTCAAGACTCCAGGGTCTCCAACATACCGATGACATTTTTCAGAAACCTCACGGATGTTTTAAACGAATGAATATTCCAAACTTTTCTCCATTATTCAAACTTTAGCAAATCTTCATTCCTATATTGAAGTATTTGTGCTGCTGGAAGAACCAAACATATAAACGATAACGGGGTTCACTCGTATTCTTCATCTCATTCAGATGATGTCTTGCTCGCATTTTCCATACTACTGTTTTTGGAACGACCAACGGTAGTGTCGTCTGATGAAACGCTAATCTAGTCCTTAGCATACTTGGCGCAAATCGACACTTCTGAAAGTTAACAACGGTATTCATAATTTTCATCCTCCTTCCTGTTTTCTAACTTGCAAACTTCCATAAGAGGTTTCAGATAAAGCCGAAATACCAGTTCAATTTTTGCGCCTCTGATTTTAGTAGTTTTCTCCAGGTACTATCCCATTTATTCCCGGGTCGTTTGCTGACATCCACATTCTCTAAACATCTCTAAGCCTCCCCTAATATGGACGATGCTCCCCGTTGGCTTTTCCAGTATGTGAACTCTGGAAGTAACTGTAACAATATTCCGTCTCGTCCGACTTCCTCCTTATCCTGCCTTGTTTCGTCTCGTTGAAAACTTCTTAGGAATTTGCTGTAATTTCCAGCTTTACACTTTAACTGATCTCAAAAGCCATCCCCTCACTTCTGTCGTCCTTAATTACCTCAAGGTTCTGAAAGCAATCTTAGCTAAACAGCACTTGACCTACCTTATTTTTTGCCATCGTCATCACAGACAGCAACATCACTATTGACCTACATGCTCTACTGCCGTACAATCATAAGACTTGTTCATCTATATTTCAAGCATCAGAGTGTATAGGTGAGAAAAAGAAAGGGTGAGGGAGGCGACCTAGGGCTGGTCTCTGTCGAGCAGTTTGAGGTGCCTTCACCTCCAAAAGCTCAATCAGCGTGTATAAAATGCAACGGATAGCACGAACGCCACTGACATCGTTCAGTCACCATTTTTGCAGTGTCTTGGGCCCAGCGCAGCAGAATTACGGGATCTCCGTCCTTGAAGGAGTACAACAGTAACAACACCCAAACTCATCGTAATCTCTTTCACACCATTCTGCTAAGTTATATGCCGTTCTTCTCGTGGTACGCACCATCCTGAAGGAGACGGAGAAAACAACATTCGTCTCTGTAAATGGTGTTTTGACATGCATAGAACATGGGTGAGCCATCGCATCCAATAATGCTGGATTTTTGCGACTGAAGTACCCGCTGAACAACCAAATACGTATTTTCTAATCACGCCATCCGAAACCGGCAACAATTCTGAGAAATCGGTGGTCGAAAACCTGAAGAGGTTTGCATCATCCGTTTGCAAGAGCCACGTCTCGTAGCCATACAACAACACAGCCCGGTACACGCAACTCTTAAGACCAAATGATATGCCTTTTGGCACTACAGTTGACGCAGTTTGCAAACGTGATTCGTGTTTGGCATTCTTGCACTGATTTCATCGGACACGCTTTTCTCAGAGCTAATACAACTTCCGAGGTATTTAAAATTCTCAAAAACGTCCTGAATTGTTCAAAGGCTGCAGGTTCTGAATCATGACTTCCGGCAACAATCTGAGAAATCGGTGGTCGAAAACCTGAAGAGGTTTGCATCATCCGTTTGCAAGAGCCACGTCTCGTAGCCATACAACAACACAGCCCGGTACACGCAACTCTTAAGACCAAATGATATGCCTTTTGGCACTACAGTTGACGCAGTTTGCAAACGTGATTCGTGTTTGGCATTCTTGCACTGATTTCATCGGACACGCTTTTCTCAGAGCTAATACAACTTCCGAGGTATTTAAAATTCTCAAAAACGTCCTGAATTGTTCAAAGGCTGCAGGTTCTGAATCATGACTTAGCACCTTAAGCGTGCAAGGTGCATGTCTGAAGGTGGTACTATGGTGGTCAGTCTATTTAACAGAATTTGGTCGTGCTTCATTCATACGTCATTCCTTGTCTGGTAATCAGAGTGTGTTCTTACTTTTCACTAGTTTCTTTCTGTATTCAACTAACCCATAACTCATAAGTCTTTTGACTGGCCTCCGAATGTATGTCCCTCTTTCTCCTGTACACCACTGTTAAATTTCGTTTTAAAAAATTACAAACGCACGTATTCTTTGGAGTTAGTTTGGAAAACCCAAGGGTATGCATTCTTATCACATCCTCCAGGTAGACAATGCTTTTTGAAAACGGCACACTACGGAGCGATAAAATAATACATATGCAACATAACTGACTGGTTCCAAGCCTACCTCCAGGGTTTCTCGAAGTCTACCGAAACACATTGACGCAAGTGTTTGTCAGACAACATCCACTTTTGCCGAACAAATCAGAGACTTTATTTAAACGTTATTCAATAGGCATTTGGAGTTTTGGCCGGCAAGTAAAGTTAATCTATGTTGAGAAGCCAAGAAGCACCGTACAAATGTTTTATCTTCATTGGTAATCGTGAGCACTCCACATCCATTGCACGCTAGTAGGGGTTTTCGTATTCGTGAACTCCCGACCGGTAGTTTGGATACTAATCTGTCTGACCATCAACGGCTGATTAGCGATGTGAACAGTTCGTACTTAGACAGTATATAGTGCCACGGAAACCACATCATGTAGTCATGGTCACTCGAGTGACGACTTCGCAGCTGAAGGTTTTACTCGTCTTGCGAAATTATTCTTCTTCTGCACTACTTATGGAATGATGGTAGTGTGAGAAGATTCGAGAGGTTTGGGATGTAATCCTGTTCAACCTGATTATTTATTTGCTTCTTCATTATTTTTTGTTGGGAATGAAAAACTTCAAGGAACTGCGTAGAGGGCTTATCACCTGTGAAGCCTCGCAATACATGGAATCTTCATATTTTAAAAATTTCCATAAACGCTTAATGAGTATCTAGCAATGAAACAAAAGGATGATTGGAACGTACCAACTTTCTTCCCCCACATTTTCTCAGCTTGTTGCTGGGTCAATAAATCTCGAAAGCGTGCTTCGTCCTCCACTTTCAACCTGATGATGCTGTGTACGTCGACATTCAGTCTACACAATTCCGATAGTAACTTTGCGTCTTCAAATCCGGTTAGAATGACGTATCGTGAGATACCATTCTTTGGTTCGTCATCTGATTTTTCAATAAAAAAATTTTCTTTGTTTAAACTTGCGTTACCGACAAAAAATAAATGTGCTAATCATAATCATAATAATAATTTATACCAAGATCATGTGTAGTAACAAAGTATAATATATAAAATATAATATTATAAATATAAATAAAACAATTAATGTGTGGGCTTATCAGACGACAAGTATCAGTTAAAATGGAATTTCTCACCACCACAAAAAAGGAACTGGAAAATAAAAGTAGAGTGAATAACCAGGATGATTTTGCTTTCCAAGGATCATGCATCATTCTGAACTAATGGTGTGTTCTTTAAAGCTATTGTTTTTTAATTTTTTTCGAAACAATCTTTCTGACCCAAAACTAAGGAAAGCCTGCTTGAAACGGTTCTCGGAGTAGATACAGAACCACTAGACAAACAGGTTACATGTTTCCCGTGAAACGATAATAAACGACGCAGCGTATTCTGTCGTGAATCACTAAAAATACTGCCTTATTGAGGAACCGCTTAACAGTTGCGTGATCATGAAAAAATTGCACAATCCCTGCCCCTGTAATAACACTAAGGTACTTGGACTGCCAAAGCTTCTTTGACGATGAATTCCAAAACTTTTCTCTTTCCACATGACACTTCTTCTTCGAAAAACACGTGAGGGTATAAAATGGTAGGGCAGAATCTCGCAAACCATTAGCCTGAAGGACAACAAAACGCATTTTGTTGGCTATCATTGTCCCTGTAGTTGTTGCACGCAAAAGCCGAGTACAAACAGAATACGTAGAAAGATACCCAGAAGGCTGACATCTAGACTTCAGTCCTAGTCATGTCTTTGTCTTTTTTTATGAGTGTACGTAAAACTTCTCATTTGAAGGCCAATAAAACCAGTCTTCACTTTTAACAGCAGCATCAACGGGATCTCAAGGTCTGGCTTATTATAGATGCTACAAGATGTGCTAGCTAGTGGCACTGAGTGATATCAAACTTTAGTAGACTAGGCAGAGAAATTACGCGTCAGCTTTGGAGATTAATCGCATAAACGTAGACATAAAAATTCTAATGAGCTCATTTTGTAAATCACCTGCTAAGCTAGCGGGAGGTTAGTGGCCCGAGTCCATCTCCGGAGCGTAGACTTTTCACTTAATCCTGTTCTACCCTTTTGCGTCTTTCGTTCTTGTATCAATAGAATTTTATGTCACATATCTTGCACTACCAACTAGGTGGATTGGTTCAACCGTTTCAGGTGACCGGCTCAGGTTTTTGGCATCCAAAAATTAACTGGTGTTTCCAATTCATCAAAAATTCATCGATTTTTAAATGCATAATGAGTGATGGTAGATATGGGGTTGTGGTTCTTATAAGGCCCTCAAACAGTGGACATCTGATGTCTTTAGCTAACGTTACCCTGCCTTTTTATTCATAGTACAGATTAACAAACCTAATCAAGCTTAGGTTTTACAAACGGCTCTGATATATGGGAATAATTGTGCACAAATGAATTGGTCCATTCATGGTTATCCCTCATAAGACACAAGCTGTTTTTCACCAACGAAGCGAACGAAAAGCACAATAAAAATCGTACCCACCAATATATTCACGATTAACTGGTGCTTCAGCACGTTTTCGCAGGTGCGATTGGCCTTTTATTGGTGCTGTTTCCTGCTGTTGAACTTTTCCTTTTGCTGAGCCTTTACTGGATGGCTGTCTCCCTTTGAATCTTCCCTGAGGGGCAACCTGTGATTTTGGCCTTTTCTCCAAACTGCCTTCATTCTGAAAAAAGTTTATCAGCTTTGATAGATATTTAAATGTGGACCCCTCTATTCTGTTACAGGGAACTTTGGGTTTTGTGTAGGTCAGCTCAATCGTAAGGCTTGTAATATGATGTAAATTAACTGTAGAGTGACTACCAAAAAAACAAATGATATGGGCCCTGGTAGTCAGAAGCTCTGAAGTTCGATTTAAGACTTTATCTGCTAATAACTGTCACAGGAATGAGCTCAACGCAATGGAATTTCAAAGAGCCAAAGCTTTAGGGGCTGCATTTAAGGCGCCTTTGCAGTTATCCTGCCACTGTAATTTTAGCTGGATTTAAACGATATCAACACAGGCAATCATAGTGATGTACTCAGTTGCTTATCAATTAACACTTAAATATCATAATTCTGAAAGTGGCGTCAAGTGAAGAATCGCATGCTGCACTCATTGACATAAGCATTGTGCTTCTCGGCTTTATAGCATAGTCTAGCCTTAGTGACAAAACGAAATCTGTATTTAACATTGTCCAATTTCCTCACTTTACTATGAAACAAATACTAACATTCCAATGAAATCATACTGAATAATCTTTTTTGGCAGTCTGTAAAAATATGAACCCAGTGTCTCTGAACTCTTTTAAGAGTTGGAAATCATCGACATAAAATCACTATTAGTTGGTGCGAATTCTCCTTCACTTATTTAGTTGTGGTCACATAAAGGGTGAGTGAAACAATATAGTTCAAACTTTGGAGCTAGTCTCCATCTAACCATCACACTGACGCCAGGAGAAATAAACCTGAACACAGAATTTAAGCTATACGACAGCAGTGACTTGCACCTAACTAGGTACCACTATCGCCTGTCTGAAATTTTTCTTTCCTGATGGGTTTTTCTTCAAAACTAAATTCCGAAGAAATCACTTGACTCTTGAAGTAGGTAGAGGAAAAATATTTTAGTCAATCACCAGAACTCAGGTTTTCCCTTTTTTCACTTTCTCTGTGGATACCATCATGTTTCAGAATTTTATTTCTCTTTACTTAGCATGTTATTACTCGCAGTATCACTTTGAACGACCTTGATATTCCGATTCCATAGTGATGTGAAGCACTCAGTCAGCGCGATAAGGGGCGCATAGTTTGTCAACTGGCTTTTTACACTCACTTGACCCTTTAAATGGGTTAAAGTCTTGTTGGTCTGCTACAGAAACAAACTAATTTAGGCACACCAAAACGGCTAATCCCGTCCATTTATGTACATGAAGACATCAGTTAATGTGAATGTATCCAGAGGAGAAAGTCAAGTTTTCATTTCTTTAGTGCTGTCTTTATTGTTACTAGTACTGCATTTGTGTCTCGTCGGTATAATATACCTTGTAGACAGCAGCCTCTTACAGAATAAGCCACGGAATAGGACGCTTTTTGAAAAACCACGGGATTCTTTCGGTGAATAATCTCAAATAAAACTTGTTATCAAGGCTAAATGAGATAAGCCATGTAGATTCATAATCAAACATTACTTTTCAAGTAAAGACCGAGTCAAGTCGAACAGAGCTCTACGCACTCTAAGGTCGACTCCAACTCCCATATTTGTAACGGCCCCTAACAAATGACAAAATTACTTGTCACATCATCATAAAGTTGCATCAGAAATACAAAAGCAAATGCTTTTTGAAAATATACTGGAAACAGAGGGGAGTTGGATTAAGTAATCGTGGAAAGTATAGTTCCGGTAAAAAGGAGTGGTACCTTTTAGCGCGTTCAGGAAATTATATTTTGTTGGCAAAAAAAATTTGGAAATTTAAGGAAAATCCATTGTGTTAGTGTGGAAAAAGCGTTCCTAGGAATCTCTTTTACTTCTCAGTTTTTCTTTTTGGTAAACTCACACCAACAGACAAAGGTAACAGTTGTCTCTTCAGTTATATGTGTCCAAATGTAGGGCACCACTGCACCAGCCACATAATGGGAATTTTTCACATACAAACGTTTTTGGTTTCATACTGCTTGTTTAGACACATTTAAACTAATAGGTTTATTACTAGGTTCACGAAAAATCTGGAAGTTGAAAGTTTTTTCCCATCACGATCCACGTGGAAAGAGAGCAGAAAAAATAACTGAATTGGTCTTCACAAACTAAAACGGGAGTGCACATAATCATAAAAAAGTCATGTGGTAGAGTGAGGGAAAATAATCCCAACGAAACGCAAACATCTTCAACTCACCGTGAACTATCTACATAACAGCATCTGTGTCTCTGTGTTTAGTATGTATCTTGGATGGAGTGTGAGCTCAGTAGTGTGGGTCGTGATCGTCCCCTTCGACTAAATTTTCATGACCCTCATTGGCGGAATGATCCCAGGGAACTCATGAGAAAACAAGTGGATGCAGGCTCAGAAAACGGGACACAACCGCGCATGCATAAGTAGATCAGCCGCACACATTCAAGCACAGACATACATATTAATGCACATGTGTCGGGCGTACGACGTTTGCGGCAATGTGAGTGGCGAGTACCCATAAGCAAAAAGATAGAGATGAAAAGTACATAAGCGGAGTAAGTGAATGAATGGAGAAATTATCGTGATGTCAAGTTAGATGCTATGCTGCTTTGTCCTGACACAGGTGATTATGTTAGCATTATTGGAAACATGATACTCCTTTCCGGTAAGATGGCAAACACTGATAGTCAGGTATCTTGTTTGGCGCTCGCATGTGACAGAAGTCAGGTTATCGTAGTGGCAGCAACCGGTAAATTTATGAGGGAAAAAGCAGCGTGCTGGCTGAATATAAGTGAATAAAATCGTTTGATGCTTTTTGACAGAATACCATTGCCTTATGTCGCTTTTTCATGATAACGTTTTCACTAAGCTTGCGATTGCAATCGAAAATTGGATCCAAAGTAGGTTTAGGAAGGCATATTTGTTTTACTTTGCCTTTCAAGGGAAATATCTGTTTTGAGGTGAGAACTAGCCAAGTGAGCTGCAAACCGCTTGAATATTCATCCAATTCATTGGTTCGGTTCATCGTTACCACCAAATTAAGCCAAGGAACATTTTGTTTTTTAATCTCCTACACGAAGTTAGCCAGCTAGTCATTGTAATACACAGATGATATCAATGTTGCAAATATATACTAGTTATTAGATTCACGGATAAGCACACAAAGTACTCCGCGCTTTTTAGCTGTGAGTTGAAACTGGGGCTCATTTTTGACTAACCCGTTTGGTGCATATATTTTTATTTTCATTTTGGGTATATCAAAATATGAAAAAGCACAGTGAACAAGTAGTTTAAATAACTGCACGTTTTTTTTAATCTGCTTTAAATATTGACCTAAACCCTTCTCAGAGTAGTAGATGGTACTCAACCGTTTCTATAAGATCCCTGTATTCCAATGCTTAACTTTGCCAAAAGACACTACCAAGTCGCTAGATTCTTCGCTTGGTATTACCAGATAAGCATAACAGCCTGTTTTGTCGTTTGAATTAGTCACTTTTAAACAGTTCAGAAAGAAGTTTTCGTTCTTTTACCATGGCGGCAAAACTTCCTATACGAGAATATTTCGACAAAATGATGGTTTTGAGAGTTTCCAATATTCTGTTTTAGTTTGCGATTTTTATCTCATGATAAGTGCATAAAAGTGCAAATTTTCCAGCTGCTACATGGCTGACAAAGAGAAAAAAATCACAGCCACGTGTCAGAGACCATGGCTAAATCCGTTTATTGACGCCGAATTTTCCTGTTTGCCCCGTGCGTCATGCAGAAAGAACTACCTCGTGAGGGTGATTGTTTTATCACTAGACTAACAGTGGTTTCGTAAAAGTCATATCCGTTGGGTCCACTAGCCGTTGGATAGTTCATCCCTCGGGCTGCATCGTGGGAGATGGTAGTTACCTAATCAACTAGGTTGACTGGTAAAGACTTTCGTGCTTCGTTGCAAAGTCATGAACCAACCGGTTGTGGATAATATGTATCTAAAAAATTTAGCACCAAATGACTTAGCGTCCTCAATATTAAGAAGAAGATCACATGACCAGTGCGACCCCCGGATGTGAACAGCTGATCTACCGTTGGAGAGTGAATATTCCAGAAGGCTATCTGGAGTGCCTCGCTAATACTGATGTCCAAACCTGATCCAAACCAGCCCAGTGCAATGATTTTAAGGCTCGTATATGCCTCAGACGTTTCAACGTTAATTGTGTATGATGTCCAAGATCCAAACCAGCCCAGTGCAATGATTTTAAGGCTCGTATATGCCTCAGACGTTTCAACGTTAATTGTGTATATACAATTAATTATTTATATATATATATATATATATAACTCTATATAGTTAACAATTAAATATACTTAATTATATATCTATATGTGAGAACAAAGTTAGGTAGTAAGGTTTACCTCATCCCGGCTCTTCAGATAAATCAACAGAAATTTGATAACCTTTGCAATTACGTCGGTGGGTAATTCCACACCCTGACT